TTTATTCAAGTTTTTTTAGTCAACAAAATCCCCTTGATTTGTGAGACTAGATAACATAAATGTTTTTTGAAAATAATATAAAAATGTTGAAAAGTAAATTTTTTTTTATATGAATATCTAGTTAATAGAAAAATTATTTATAAAAAAACATATAAATAAATAAGATCTGTGATTTTAATATGCTTTCTATTTAAATTATTTTATCCAAACAATCTTAACTATTTTAAAATCATATATATATTTTTTCCTTTTATGTAATTTAAATTTTAAGTATGAAATATATGTTAACATTAGGTAGGGCCTCCAAATGGCATGAAGCACACCGCAGATGATCCCCTTCACCTCATGCAGATTTGATTATCCAACCACCCTTTTGTCCACTTCATGAAATATGTGCCATCAACAAGAGGAATCGGACGATTTGTGCATCATATATAAACCACACCCAAGGCACAAGCTAGGCATCTCCACCCTTCTTCTAATTAGATTAGCAGCCTTAGGTAGGATAGAGGAAAGAGCTCTCCACAAAATTGTAACATATATTAACTATATAAATTGTGCATTTTGATCCGGGTTTATTACATAATTATTGGTCGCTATCTCCACCCCGAAACCGCCTGCCAGCATGCGAAGAAGTTAGGAGAATTTCCCTCACCGCGGCCTTCACAAAAAAGAGCATCGTTCGGTAAGTTTCTAACTTCATAATAGCATACAAATACACACAGCCTATGCCCACTCAATAAAAATGAAAATGAAGATATTTGTAATTTTATTCATATTTTTAGGATGTATTCGAAAAATTTATGACCAATTATGGGATAGGTTTTACTTATTATTATTTTGGCCTCCTGGCTACTGCCAGACTGCTAAAAATTGTTGGTACCATAGGGTTATAGAAAAATTTGTCATTCATGGGCTCTGGCCGATTGATTTTGCTGGCCAAAGTCCACCAATATCACTAATGGTGACAAATAACGATAGTCTAGTGAGTTTATTCTTGTTGTTGTTATTTAAATAAATATAATATTATTGTTATAATTTGGTAAACTTTATTTAAATTTTTTCTTTAAATTTATAAATATATGATGAATTGAAATTAGAATTGAGTATATGATGGACCGTTTATGACACAAATAAGTTGGAAGAAGCTTTTTGGGCTGATGAATGGAATAATCACAGCATCAGCTCATAAAGTTTGTTAAATCAGATTAAATATTTCTATCATAATGTACTACAATCTAGACATAGCTAACATATTTTTATTTATCAATGTCTTTCCTAGCCATCTCCTACAAAATTCTACTCGGTTTTATATAGCACTCGTGAGCAAGTTAAAAGTTAGTCTCTTGTTTATATGCGAGGAAACCTATTTGATAGAAGTTAGAATTTGTTATGATCAAGCAGCTGCAAGTCTGCAACTTTAGTAAATTGTAATCAGATTAGTTTACAATTTACAAAAATTGCAGCTGCTTGATCGTAACAAATTATAACTTCTATCAAATAGGAGTCCTTGCATATAAACAAGAGACTAACTTTTAATCTTCTCATGAGCTCTATATAAAACGGAGTATAATCTTGTGGAAGAGGACTAGGAAAAACATCAATAAATAAAAGTATGTTAGCTATGTCTAAATGGTCGTACATTTTTATGATAGTCTCGAAATATTTAATTTGATTTAATAAACTTTCTGAGATGATGCTGTGTTTGTTCTGTTCATCAGCTCAAAAAGCTTCTTCCAACTTATTTGCCTCATAATTTGGCCATGATATACTCAATTGTAATTTCAATTGAACATACATCTATAAATTTAAAAGAAAAAGTTTAAATAAAGTTTAGCAAGTTATAATAATAATATTATATTTATTTACCACAACACCAACAATAAATTCATCAGTATGGTTGTATTTGTCACCATTTGGTAGTATTGGTGGACTTTGGCCAGCAAAATCAATAGGCCAGAGCCATTAATGGTAAATGTTTCTGTAATCTTATGGTACAAGCAATTTTTAGCATTCTGGCAAGGAGGCCAAAATAATGATAGGTTAAACCCATCCCATAGTTGCTAATAAGTTTTTTGAATACATCCATAAAATATGAGCAAAATTACAAGTATCTTCATTTTTATTTTTTACTTAAATGGGGGTAGGTTGTGTATTTGTATGTTATTATGAAGCTAGAGACTTCCAAAATCACTGCTGGAATTGTCACTATATCTGATCAACATTTTTGTCCAATCATAATTTGGTCGGTAATTTATTAAAAATCTCAACTTTCTATTGCTAAAGATGATTGAACAAAAAGTTAGTTGGTCGGAATTTCTGTTCGTGTATTGTAGTGAATTGCATTATGTGCTATAAGCTTATGTTCTGTATGAATTTATCTGGGTTACGAGAACATTGCAGTTACTTTGGCTTATACAGGATTGGGAAATTTATTTAATTTATGTTTCTGTAGTTTCTCTTTTGAGATTTTGGATTACTGGTCACAAAATTAAATTTTGGAAACTATTGAATGTTGATTGTGTTTGAAGGAATTGAAGTAGAAGGCTATGGATCTGCATCGATCAAAGTCATTGGAGCACTGCTGGATTTGAAGACTTATTTAGGTGTAATGAGGATACTTAAGTAGTATTCATTAAGTAGTTATATTTTGAGGGAGGTGTTAACGTATATATTCTAACGAATATATTCTAACATATATTTAGCTTTGTATTTTTGGTTGATTATTATCCTCATTAATTGTCTTTGATTTTCTTTCCTTTTCTTTATCTTACAATTTGTATATATAGGAGTTCATCCTTTGTAATTGATTCAAGAGATATATACATACAATTCATACTATTTGTAACAAGTCCGTTGGAATAAAAATTATGAGTAAATTTTTAAGAGTTTATGAAATATTTTTCCAAAAAAATACATCATAATATTTGATATTGACATGAAAGTTAAAACATTGCAAATAAATAAGGGAAAATGACGTTTTTTTTTTCTTTCATGAATTGTGTGTTAAAAGTGAATTTAGTATTTAAATTATTTTTGTATGCATATTGTCCCCTTCAATTGGTCTAAAGATGACAATTTTCTCTCTCTTTGTTATTTTTTTATTTGGATAGTTAAATGTAAATATGTAATGTTAAAATAAAAAATTTATGCTAAAACCTTGTGGTCTAATGACACCAAGGTTGCACTTAGTACTATATGACAACAAGACTGTGTCCCTTAAAATGTACATAGATAGCGTTTATGAAGTGAAGGAGGAGGTATGTCGGCCCAATAGTGAGGGGAGAAGGAGGCAATAGTTATGCCGTGCAACCAAATGTACCATGCGCATGGTGCATACGGTGCAAAACGATGTCGTTTTGACTAAAAACGCGCGTCCCACTTTTTTAAAAAAAAATTCAGGTTCGATTCTCGGCAATAGCATTATTATAGATATATAGTTATGAATTTCTGGATATATAGTTATAAATTTGTGGATATATAGTTATGAATTTATGGATATTTAGTTCATTCATTGTGGATATTTAGTTCATTCATTGTAGATATTTACTTCATTCATTCACTGTGGATATATAGTTATGAATTTATGGATATATAGTTATGAATTTCTGGATATATAGTTATGAATTTATGGATATTTAGTTCATTCATTGTGGATATTTAGTTCAATCATTGTGGATATTTATAGTTCATTCATTGTGGATATTTAGTTTATTCATTGTGGAATTTTACTTCATTCATTCATTCATTGTGGATTTTTACTTCATTCATTCATTCATTGTGGATTTTTACTTCATTCATTCACTGTGGATATATAGTTATGAATTTGTGGATATATAGTTATGAATTTCTGGATATATAGTTATGAATTTCTGGATATATAAAAATGCTATTGCCGGGAATCGAACCTGATTTCTTCTTTAAGTGGGACGCGCGTTTTTTTAATCAAAACGGCGCCGTTTTGCAACCGTATGCACCTTGCAAGGTGCATTCGGTTGCACAGCATAATTTGCGAGAAGGAGGTATGATGGCCCGACAAATTATGTTGTGGAACCGTGTCCACTTTGCAAGGTGGACACGGTTCTAAAACTGTTATAATTGTGAATATAAAATTCAAAAATTATGCACGTAGAATTCTATAATTATGAACATAAAGTTATGAACATAAAGTTCTGTAATTGTGAATATAGAGTTCAATAATTGTGAATATGAAGTTCAAAAATTATGAACATAGAGTTTTATAATTATGAACATAGAGTTCTGTAATTGTGAATATAGAGTTCAATAATTGTGAATATGAACATAGAGTTCAGTTATTATGAACATAGAACCGCAAGGTGGACACGGTTCCACGGCATAACAACTTCTAGTCAATTGTAATGTCATGGACGCGGGTCTACTTTGCAAGGTGAATCCAGATCTAAAATGACATAATTTGCGCGTGTGAAAATAATGGAGTTCTTAGTGACACCGTTTCTTCAGCCAATGATTTTTTAAAAAAAAATTATTGAAAACAAATCAACGAGTTAATATTCAGTTCTATAATTGTGAATATAGAGTTATGAAATTGTGAATATAGAATTCTGCAATTGTAAATATTGAGTTCTGTAATTTTGTATATTGAGATCTAAAATTGTGAATATTCAGTTCTAAATCTGTGAATATAGAGGAAAGAATTCTAAAGACAAAGAGCAAGGAAGGAAGCATTTAAAAAAAAAAAATATTCAGACGGAATAATTTGCCCATGCTAGTAGCGTATCTGTTATTTCAATAGGAATAAATTAGATTTGCTTGCTTTTATTCGGTAATTCAGTTGGATAATTGTTAGCTCCGATCCATTACTATATTTACGCTAATAGGTAGTATGGGAGATTTATTCTTAACCATTTCGTTATCCCTTCTCTCTCAATCTCTTCTTCTCTTTATGCCACTCCTCTCTTCTTCTTCTTTTACTGCAATTCCCAGTGCCTTACAAATCTACACCCACTAAGTAAAAAGAAAAAATGAAGATCTTTGCAATTTTATTCATATTTTTGGGATGCATTCAGAAAAGTTATGAGCAACCATGGGTTAAGTTTTACTTAGTACTATATTGGCCTCCAGGCCATTGTTACACTTCCCAGAATTGCTTGTACCATCGTGTTATAGAGAACTTTACCATTCACGGGCTTTGGCCTATTAATATGATCGATCAAAGTCCATCAATACCACCGAATGGTACCAAATACAATCATAGTCTGGTAAGTTTATTTTATTCTTCTTATTGTTATGGTAAAGAAATATATGATTATTGTTATAACAAGCAAAATTTTATTTGAATTTTTTTCTTTTAAATTTGTAGATGCATGATCACTTGAAAATTGAATTGTTTACAATGTGGCGAAATTATGAGGCAAATAAGTTTGTTGAAGCTTGTTGGGCAGATGAATGGAACAATCATGGCATCATCTCAGAAAGTCTATTAAATCAGATTAAATATTTCAAGACTGTCAAAGAAATGTACTCGAGTTTACACATACATGACATACTTACACAGTCCAATATCTTTCCTAGTCCTCGTCTACAAAATTCCATCCCATTTTTTATGGCGCTCGTGAAAAGATTAAAAGTTAAACCCTTGCTTAAATGCAAAGAATCCTATTTGACAGAAGTAAGGTTTTGTTATGATCAAGCAGCTGAAACTTTAGTAGATTGTAATCAGATTGATTATAATTGTCCAGAATATTTTATTTTTAAAAATGCTTAGCTTAATTGTAATCAGATAGACTATAATTGTCCATGAAAGAATGTAGTGAATGAATGAGAAAATAAGAATAATGAAATTTAATCCAACGTACATTCAATATAATATAATGGACTTTATTTATTTAAATTTTTGGTTATTAATGATGGATGTTTTTTTGTAAAAAAAAAATGCTACTGACTCTATTACAATGTAGTATTTGTTCATAAACTACCTTCTCAACCTATTAAGAGTCAATGTTGTTTCCACTTAAGCTTGAACCATTTTCTTGTAATCAGTGATGATGTTAAATAAGGTTAAGAATAAAGAGGTAAGGAAAAAAAAAATTGAACCTCCATTAATGATGATTGATGATGTTAATTAAGGTTAAGAATAAAGAATTAAGGATTGCTAAATTAAAGTGATTGTGCACAAAGACCTTACATAGAACAATGAGAGAGATACTGATATAACAGAAGAAACCTTATATATGAATTGAATAAATAATCATTCTCTTGAACTATATACCCCCTCACACATCATAATTTTATTAAATACGTAAATTCTTTATTAACTCATAGTAAAATTCAGTAGTTCATGAAACTATTTTTTTTTTAATCATTGTAACATTGAGTAGTGAAAATGTAGTAATAAATGTAAGGTTAATAACATTTTTAAAAATAAATATAATAAATAAAGCATCTCAATTATGCATTCATTTGGTTAATAAGTTGTCTCAAGAAAAATAAATATAACCGTTAAAAAAATAGAAGAAAATCAAAAAAAAAAAAAAATTTCACATTCTCTATAACATACAAAATGGAGACAAAACAAGCTTTATTTTCTTGTTAAGGCAAAATCAATTTATTAAACGTGAATGAAACAATCACAAATATATGGGAGATGAAATCTACGATCCTAGACCATGCTGAGAATCTACAGCTCTACCAAGGATATGAGTTAATTGATAGTTCTACCAAGGATATGAGTTATTTGATTTGTTAACATTCTAATTAACATGCTGAAAAGAAAGATATATTATGTTATATATAATATAATTTGCATATAAGATAAAAATATTTTTCTGAAAACTAACAAATGCAATCTCTATATTAAGCTCAAAATATAATCTAGTGGAATAGAACCAAGAATAGAGAATGAACTGGAGTTTTTTGCACTTTTAGTCCCACAACTATAGTGGCACTAGCAGAATTGATCCACGACTTTTGAACCTTGCAATTTTAGTCCACGACTATTGATTTTTTTGCAAAAATGGTCCTTCCGGCCACTTTTTCGTCAAAATTTCACCGGAAAAAAAAAATTCTCCATTTTTAGCCGGGTTAAAATTGACATTTTATTTATCTAAAAAAATTGATATTTGACTACATACAATATTACTGGGCTACATACTACTGCCCCAGGCGGCGGAGTTCCTGGAGCAGGCAGGGCTGTCAATAAGCGGCGGAGCGGCCGTGGCGTTCCCCGGGCTAGTTGGGTTATCCGACAGCAGCATTGGAGTGGTACATGTATTCCGCCGCCTGGGGCAGCAGTATGTAGCCCAGTAATATTGTATGTAGTTAAATATCAATTTTTTTCTTTTAATTTTTTGAGATAAGTAAAATGTCAATTTTAACCCGGCTAAAAATAGAGAATTTTTTTTTTTCCGGTGAAATTTTGACGGAAAAGTGGCCGGAAGGACCATTTTTACAAAAAAATCAATAGTCGTGGACTAAAATGGCAAGGTTCAAAAGTCGTGGATCAATTTTGCCAGTGTCACTATAATCGTGGGACTAAAAGTGTAAAAAACTCGAATGAACTAGCATAGTAACTTGTGCAATTACATGAGCGATTTGATTCGCTGAACAAGATAAAAACATTTATCTTATAATAAACAATGAATACCAACTTGGTTTGTGAAAATGCACACTTTTCCATAAAGATGGCCCCAAAGACAACTTTCCTAGTTTCAAGAATCCATTCAACCTATATGGATAAGTTTCTTTTATTTCCATTGGGATTAGCCGTCATTGATTTTATCTTTATGGCCATTAATATTTTTTGTCTCGTTATAATCTTGAATAGAGTGATCAATTTTAAGTGAGAGGAATATAATTTTTCAAAACTTTTATTCAACTTGTTATTATATATATGATATTCTTAGTACAATTTACCTCTCTAATGCACATCATCAGATAATGATTGCGAATTTTTCTTTTAAAAAAAAAAAAAAGTGACATCAAAACTTAAAATATGACAAACACTCATGTTGTTTAATGAAATATGTTACACGAAATCTTCAAATCACTCTTTTTTTTTTTGGATGACAATAGAAATCTGTGATCACTATCCAAACATGTATACCAATAAATTCCGCGTGTATTAATTTACAAATCATAAGTAAATTGCACTAAAAAGATTGTATGCGACAAACTTCATTAAAAAGGTGTTGATAAACATTAAATTCATAATCTTCCTGTAGGAGAGTTAGTATCTTATTGTGTAATTACTAATTAGAGTGAAAATAACCCACCCTATAACCAAGACTACATGGTCTAATAGTACCCGAGTTGGACTTCTAGAGCAAGTAGCATCCAAAAAAAAAACTCCTATAATTGATCATTTCTACATATTTTAGGCCAAAAAGTAAAAATAAGAAACTATTTTCTCACAAATGGAACAGTCCAAAAAAATATCTGAGAATTCGACCCCACCCTTCTTTCAATTCACTACGCTAAAGAAGAAGGAAAAGAAAAATCTTATCTTCATTTCTGGGTTCCTGTTCTTCATCAAGAAGCAATGGGCATGTCCATATTAGCTCCAAATCCCCATATCCCATACAGAGATTTCCCCTACAGAGACCACCCATCTTGGAGCAGTGGGAGAAGCTTGAATTTGCAGAGATCAAATGGGCATGGTTTTGCCTATAAGAGAAGAGGCGAATGGAAGAAAGTGGGAAAGAAAGAATGGAGAATCTGCGCTTCTTGGCCAGATTTGTTCAGGCCATCATCTGTGGAGATGAAACCCATCGAGGATTGTGAGCAGTTAGACCAGATTTTGGCAGAGGCTAAAGATCTCTCACAACCCATCATCATTGATTGGCTAGTATTTTGATTGTTTATGCTTATCCAGTTTTAATATTGGGTTCTCTATCTAGCATTCTTGAAATTTTTTTAGTACTGTTGTTTGATTTTAGCTAAAGTTTATAATTTAGGATGGCTGCTTGGTGTCGAAAATGCATATATTTAAAGCCAAAACTGGAGAAAATGGCTGCTGAATATGATACAAAGTAAGCTCCTTTCTACAATTTTCATAAATTTATAGAGCATAAGTGTATAATTGGACTCTGTTTTCTGTGCTTATAGAATCAAGTTCTACTGTGTGGATGTAAACAAGGTTCCCCAGACTCTAGTGAAGCGTGGAAACATCTCTGTGAGTTATATTTCATTGGGCAAAAAAAAAATGCTATGATTTTTCATGACTTTTAATTCTGTACTGACAATTTGCCCTTGTTTTATCAGAAAATGCCCACAATTCAGGTGAGCCCAAAATCTTTTTTTTTTTTTTTTTTTCTTTAGATAATCCGACCAATTTGGCTGGGATTGTCTCCCGAGCACAAAATAGTGAATCGAATATTGATGGTGTGATCATTTTACAAGTTGGGTGTTGCTTTTTTGCAGCTTTGGAAAGATGGAGAAATGCAGGCAGAGGTGATTGGAGGTCACAAAGCTTGGCTTGTAATGGAAGAAGTCAGAGAAATGATCCAAAAGTTCATATGACTCTGCTGCCCTTACAATCTAGGACCACCTTCATCTTGTTCATATTCTGCAATATATGTTTACATACTTTTTGCCATTTTTTTTCTTGTATATCCATCAAAGACTACATATGTACAGTTAATACAATCATGCAAGTGGTTTATAATGCATTATGGCTTTTACAAGGATCGGACAACAATAGTGTCATATATATTGAAACATCGAAAATCCTCATTGTATGATCAGTTCAAATAAAAACATGAGAACATGTGTCCTGCAGCCCTACTTCAAGAATGAGCTATGGAGGTTCATAGTTTCATTTATATCCTAAATTTGACTTGTCTCGCCCTATCACAAGTATTATTCTCAATTTATTTATAAGTGCTTAATTTATTAACTAAAGACACATAATATATTAATCGTACTAGTCACATAGTTTGAATAATGTGAGACCGTTTCGTGAGTCTTAATCCGAGACGGATCGGATATTTGATTAATGGGTCGGGCGTCATGAGTTTCAATTCAAGGCGGTCGGATAATGATTAATGGGTTGGATCGTTGACATCATTAATCAAAGATCCGACTCATCTCACGAATTGAGACCCGTGAGACGGTCTCACAAGTTTTGCCTGTGGTTAATTAAATGGTTAATATCTACGTGCTTATTTCAAGTAAGATATGACAACCAGATATTCTAAAGAATTTAGTGGTAAACATCATGGGGTGACGTAGAGATTCAAACCCATGACTTTTGGTTGATACCAAATTGAAGCATGTGCTTCATCTCAACTAAAAGCATAAGCTGATAGTTGGATTGCATATTAATGGTTATATGCTCAACACAAAGTAAATCACGAATAATGTTAGTATATTATAATTTTACAAATATATTTTTTGTTATGATCTACCTACTTAGTATTATTATTTTTTAAGTATACCAAGAATTTCTATCGTTGAATACAGTGACTAATCTCCTCACTGAGTTATATGCACCTCTTTTGGATGAGACAACTGGCTTGGAGATTTAATTTCACTCAATATTATGTGCACACAATAATTTGTCCTTCACAACAAACTTCTGAATGGTCCGTGATTCACCGACTCCTCTTCACACCAAACTCATGCCCACTTCCATTATAAATAGCACACAATAGTCTCCTCAAGCTAATTAAGGACACAAATAGACAACACTTTTAAAAAGAAAAAAAAAATGAAGATATTTACAATTTTATTTATATTTTTTGGATGCATCCAAAATAGCTACGAGCAACAATGGACGGGATATTATCTTTCACTATTTTGGCCTCCAGGTCACTGTTACACTGCTCAAAATTGCTTATATCACTTAGTCAAGGAGAGGTTTACTATTCAAGGGCTCTGGCCTTATAATTTCACTGGCGGAAGTCCACCAATACCCTTAAACGGTCACAAATACGATAATACTCTAGTGAGTTTATTGCTATTAACGTTTTACTAAATTAAAATAATATTTATAACTCCTCATCTGAAACATTAATCTTCATTATTACTAGGGAAAATGGTCAAATAGATCCTTGAACTATAGGTAAAAGGGTAATTAGGTCCTTCAACTTTATAAATGTGCAATTAGACCCTTCAACTTATTATTTTGAGTCAAATAAGTCCAATAACAAGTTTTTCACTTGGAATTACAAAAAAAAAAAAAAAAAAAAAAAAAAAAAAAAAAAAAAAAAACCGAAGAGGACGACCGGACTGGTTGTCCTCTCCAGTGGAGAAGGCGACCAGATCTGGCAGCCCTCTCCGGTGGAGAAGGCGCTTCTCCGGTAGTTTTTTTTTTTTTTTTTTTTTTTTTTTTTTTTTTTTTGTTGCCGGAATTTTTGATTGGTTATTCCAAGTGAAAATCCTGTTATTGGACTTATTTGACTCAAAATAACAAGTTGAAGGGCCTAATTACACCTTTTTTTAAGTTGAAGGGCCTAATTGCTCTTTTACATATAGTTCAAGAGTCTTTTTTTTTTGAATGCATATAGTTCAAGAGTCTATTTGACTATTTTCCCTTATTATTATATAAATTTCGAACCGAATGTCAATGACTTTGTGGTCTAGTGACACCAAGTTACTCTCCCATATGAGAGGATGTGGGTTCAAGCATTAATTGATGCAGTATTGACTCTTATCGCATTATAATAGAGTCAATAGTACTCAAAAGAAAATAAAAAACTCCCAACAGAATTGAGGTTACACCGGAAAGTCCTATATGTGGTCTTGGAGAAGAGGACAACAGGCATTCCTTGTGTTTGGTCCTTTTCCCAGCTGGAGGGTGAGGATTTTCCCAGCTGGACAGCACGACTAATTGATGGGGCAGATGGCGTGAAGAATATAATGCAGTCCGTATATATGTTTGTATATATATATATATATATATATATATATATATATATATATATATATATATAGGTTGTTTATCAGGTAATGCCACTACTTCTTTCTTGAGTACTACAGAGTATAAAGTAAAATAATAAAATGTCCCAATGAACTTCTGGTTTACCAGTTCGGATTGGTTGTTATATTGCATTCTCCCTGGTGCATTATTACTTTACTTTATGTATCCTTGATTTCTTATTTTTCATATTCATGTTTATTTGTGCTTTATACTGGGTACACTTTGTTTATGGGTCTAGCTGAATTGTGTGTGGGATTATGTTGTTTCATATTGTCTCTACTTAAAAGATATTTACTTCTAAGATGCTGTTATGTCTTAGTGTTTTGCTGGGCAATGCAAAACTAAGTATGTAGTTTTTCTTATTCTCGTCTTTGAATTTGTCTGTGTTTAATTTTTTCTCCATATACATGCATATCTTTCAGTTTCATTTTTCTACATTGTTGAGCTTTTGAAATGCAACTGTTTCAGAATGTTCATGCTTGATATGTATGACTTCAACAATGACATTTGGCTATGCCATTCATCTTGTGGAAAATGCAACTCACATTTTGTTAGTATGTTTTCAATGGTAAAATCATGATAGCTGTCGATCAATTATAAATTTATTTTCTGCATCCACATAATCTGATTTAAACTAATCTATGAACATTGTTGACATATCAGATGTCAGCTGTCTTCTATGGCTATTACCTTCAGGTACTTTTACTTTAATATTTAGGGTAACATTAGTGCAAATTGAACTTAATGTTTTACCATCGCCTCATATGTATTTATCTTTTCAAAGTTTTGACATTTTAAATAGTTAACAGATCAGATTTTATTTCTTGATACTTAGTAACATAAGTGTCATCTATTTCTTAATATCATCCCATCATCTCCAGAAAAATTGAACACATGAAAAATTAAGAGGAAAAACTTAGATTTGTTTTCTACAAGATATTTCCACTTGTATGGGATACCTTCGGTATATTCTTTGGTAGACTTAGAGCTGAACACCAGTAGTCATCTATTTGTGTCAATCATTTCATGTAAGTCATTTCGTACCAGGCCAGCCGTGCTAAAAATATTGATTATACCATTTGGTGTTGGAACGTAATCTTCAATCATGATAGTGACAATTTCTAAAGGGTTTGCTTCAAGAAACACTTGAATCTTTGTCAAGCCACTTATTACAGGTTGTTGAGTATAACCAATGTTTTTAGCGCGGTTGGCCTGGGCCCTTCTGGTAGTATTTTTTATGCCTGAAGATGGTACGGAATGGCTTACTGTTCATGAAATGATTGACACAAATAGACGGCTACTAGTGATTAGTTCTAAGCCTGCCAAAAAATCTTGGAGGTATTGCATATAAGTGGGAAATGATTCGTAAAAAACAAATGTAAGTTCTTTCCCTAAGTGTTCAATTTTTCTGAATTTGTAGATGGAGATTATGTGATGATAAATGGATCATGTATCGAATGTGTAGAATCATCTCCTTTGAACAAACAAGGTCACTAGTTTTTATGAACTATTTTCCAAGTGCACCAGATCTTGACCAAGCTTGCAAACATAATTCAAAACCATTAAAGAGTAAGCTGTTGGCCAAAGGTGGCTCAATTTTATTGTGGTTGATTCTTATAAGCTATCTTTGTAGTTAAATTACACTTATTTAACAAGTGAAAAACTATGTGTTTTTTTTTTTCATTTATAAAAGCTAATTCATTACACTATTGCAGGATATGACTCTAACCAGACAATTCTACCAGTAGCAATGGCGGGTAAACAAGAAAAACAAAGTACAAAGTACAAAGCTTGTCTGGTAATTGAAGAAGTCATCCAAAAGTTCATATGACTTTGCACTTACAGTCTTACACTCTACGACCACCTTCATCTTGTTTATATTCTACTCTATTTGTTTAGATACTTTTTGCCATTTTTTTCTTGTATATCCATCAAAGAATACATATGAACAGTAAATACAATCATGCAAATGGTTTATAATGAATTTCTTTTACAAGGACAAGAATGGTGTCATATATATTGAAATATCGAAAATATTCATGTTATGATCAGTTCAAATTTCAAATAAAAACATGAGAATAAGTGTCCATCCTGCAGCTCTACTTCAAGAATTAGCTATGGAGTTTCATAGTTTCATTTATGTAGAATAGTAGTAATACAATGAAACTTTCGAACAATGAGAGGGTGCTTTGAAACTGCCCATTGCGAGGGCTTAAACGCTTCCTCTATGAGCTCTGGCTGAATTTCCGGCCACTCAACTGCTCAGACTCGTATAACATGTGATTTATGAGACCTCTTGCAGCACTGCAGAACCAAACGACAACATTATCACTCCCAGAACACGAGATTTCTAAGCTCATTAATACGTTCATTGACAACAACAGCTCAAAGGTAAGCTTAAGCTTAAAACGAGCTGGTCCAAGGTTGTTTCATTTACAATTCTTAACATCTATGTATACAATTTCTATTCCAATCATATCATATGGCTACACTAATGAACATTAATGAAGCAATGAAGTTCAATAGAGTCAACAAACTCTGCCAATTTTGACATGTATCACAATATAAAGAAAAAGGGCAATAGCGGGTTAACTCACTCATCCTTGAGCTTTTGAATCTTCTCTGGATCTTCCTCATGCATGTTCCTTCTGAACTGCTGCCTTACCATATCAACGAGCAGCTTTGTGTTGTATTGCTGCATGGTAACATCATAATAGCAACCGCTAAAATTGTAAGTTCTCTCCAAGAATACATTAGAACGTAAAACCATTCTCGTACCCATTGAAGACAAGGTGAATCACTCTCAACAAAGGCACAAACGTAGTTCTAATAAGTAGAAACCACTGCTCTAAAAGTTCATATGCACCATGAATATGCAGGAATAAATCATAAAAGAAAGTTGAATGACAAAGATTAGAGCTTTTGGCAACAGCATAGGCCAACCACATACGAACAAATATCACAAGCTGTTGACTTGATAACCACAAGGTTAAACGTTCGACTCCCAACAGGACCTATTGGCCTTCTTAGTTTGAGTCGGTCAGCTATGGGCAACTTAGGCTGGTTAGTCCTTTGCCGGCTAGGGTTTACCTAATGCATACACACGGATAGTGATTACGGATCTCCCTCGTTACTCAAAATCATGAGCCGAATATATTGAGTGTTTTGCATTTGGGATTCAGAACAACATCAGAAATGCAATTACTAGTACAAATACTGATACTCACTCATCAAAGTAACATAATCAAGAATAACCAAAACTTATACAGATGAACTTACAACAATAAACACTTCAACAATATAATCAATCCTAGAGAATATCAGCAAGAATGGATTTTCAAACAATGGGAGGAGGAAACAAATAGGTCAGGCCTGAAAATAGCAAAAACATAAAATAAAATAAAATAGCATACCTTGCTACCAATATACTTAGCTCGACGAAGACATTCGCGATAGAGCTACAGACCAGAAAATAAACAAATCAAATGGAAAGCAAAAATAAGATGTTAAAGCTGAAAATCGAGAAAAAAAATAGAAAGCAATGAAAAGGGAACACACTCGAATGGTGTTATTGGCAAGTTCAGGAGGCAGCGCTGTTTGAAGAGACGGCATAATGGGAATCCTTTCTTCGCTGCAAAAAGGCAATCATCAGAAGACTACGAGACATTGGGAAATCGAAAGAAAGGGTGATGGATTCCATTGGATGATTTCAGAACAAGATTGGATTGGAGGGGTAACAGAATAGAAAAACAAATTAGAAAAGGAAGTAATTAAATTGAGATGAAGGGAAGAAGAGATTAGCAGCAGAAATGAGAAATTAAGTAGCAGAAATGCAGTAAGCACTTACATCAATCAAAGCTCAAGGAAAAGGAAGAAGGAGAAGAAGAGGGTTTTTCTTCTATCGCAGCTCTTTTCTTTCTTTGGGAAAATGGGCTTTACGCAAAAATATGTACCAAGCAATAGCCCACCATGCATATTGTGATTCTTGTATCAATTATTACAGAATTAAGTGTCAAATTGACTATTAAACTGCAATGTAATTAGATCATTGAATTAAAAAAAAAAATATAATTATATTTCTATACTAATTCATTTTATACAATTGCATTAAATAAGTTAATTTAGGGATTCAATTATAGTTTTTTTTTAAGTTTAATGACCTAATTACAATAAGTTAGTTTAAAAATTCAATTGTAGTTTTTTTAAAATTCAGTGATCTAATTGCATTATGTGTGTAGTTTGATGACTTATTTGCATTATATGTGCTGTTTGATGGCTTATTTACATTATGTGTACAGTTTTACGGCTTATTTGAGTTATTAACACTATGTTAGCAATTATCTAATTATTACTGTAATTAAATACAATTGAAATTGTGTACTTGTTATAATTAACAAGTTAGGTACATATAGCACAATATTAGTACGGAATCTACAATGTACAGGATAGATATTGGTCTCCTAAAAGTTGTATTCGGTGCAAATGTGCAATTAACATTGGAAGATTTATATTAATTGTATTTGATGCAATAAACATTTTAAAATTTGTGCATCCACAATAATTTTCAATCACCCGACATGAATTCATATGAATATATGATAACTGTGCACTGAAGATAACAACAGTACATTTGATGTATGAAATATTATTATAGTTAGTAGTAGGAGAGGACTGCCAAAATAGAAGAATCATATATAGAACAATCTTTTTCATTTTAATAAAAATGTTGTAGTTCACTGGTTCTTGAATCTTAAGCATGAAGAAGAAAAAAATATGACTAAAATAAAACCCAACTGAATGAACTACTGAGCCAATACTCAACTGGTTACCAACAGTTCACACTCAATCAACACTAGAAAGTCCAGACAAGAGAAGAGAAGATATGAAATTCTACACTAGAAGAGGGCATTGACTGAGAGAATCTGAGACTGAGCTTCAATCTTCAAATCCCAAAACCAAACACAGCTCGAATCTTGTGAAAAATGAGATCCCGCCATCCTCTCTCCGTGTTCTCCACCACAGTTTCATTCCCATATCTGCATTACAATTTTACAATGATAAATGTCAGGAAGAATATGTTCGTGTTGTTTTGAAGTTAAAAGGGCAATTAGCTTAAGCAGTAGTAGAATCATTCACCTATCTTCCTCTGGTACGTCGGTGTGGGTCAGCTTAACGACTGTAACTCCAGGTTCGGGCTCATCAAAAGTGAGTCGGACCTACAACAAACACCAATTGGATTATTGCATCAATTTATCAATTCTGAAAAACTGAAAGCTCTCTTGTCCTAAAATGTCCATTAAGCATACAGCAAGCAGTATCATCTACTTGAGTTCAGATAATTACATATTCACAGGTTAGTGACGTAAAAAAACATTACTTTTTTTCCTTACATGAAGAATTAATTCCAACTATAGCTTCCACTTGCGAGAGATTGGGATTGCAATTGCACCATCCCATCATATGGGTGGAAAAGGTGATTTCAGGTTTTTAACCCAAACTATAATATAGAGCAACCACCTCACGGCCTGGCCACCAAACCGACTCTTGAAGAGCAGCTTGTCATCTCCTCAGGCCATCCTCTTTGGCTCTTTGCCACTATATAAATCTAACATCTCTTCCCCCAATCAATTCCAAACTCCTATACATCCTCAATTCTCGAATCAAGTGCTCTTAATCCTCAGTTCTAGGTGCAGTAGCCAAATATGTGTTGCTGATACATATATTTGTGCAAGGCAAAACTATCCACATTGCACTATATTACGAATATAATTGTGTCAAGATGAATTTGTATTGTGTGAGTAATTAAAACGTTTAACTAAAAGTGACCAAGATAGCAGATGTCTCCAATAAACTACAACTATTGTCGATTTCACTAACAAAGCAACTTCCATACCGCATTGTCCCTATTCTCTGAAATTATTATACATAGTCCAGTAGAGAATAGTGTTCATATCAGTAACATTTTCAGATATTTTCTAACCATTCATATTTAATAATTCAATCTGACTTTTTTTAATCAATATCCTTAGTTCCTTGCCATCCAAATTCATGACACCCTTTAGAAACTTTCCCTTTATAATGTGTAAAGATTAACTTTTTAAAACCAAATCAAAATGTAGAATCCAAGAATTCAAGTAATCATCGGAGAGGGACAGGTAAAGGATATGAATATATACCGTGGAGAGGATACCATCCGGCCAGCTCCCGAATCGCCATTTCTGCACAATCAACTTGCCTTCCTGCAGCTCTAAGTTGGTCCCAGTCACCGATCCATCGAATATGCTAAACTCACCTCCAACCTCCTTACTGATCCTGGCATTGCTCTGCGTGAACCCCTTCCACCTATTCTCATCCATCAGTATCTCGAACAAATCCCTTGACCTACAATGAAACTTCTCCGACATTGTGATCGTCTTAAAGCCTTCCTTCGGCTTTGGCTTCTTCTCTTTCACCGCATCCTTCGTCACTGCTTTCGCATTCTCACCGGCGACCGGAGCCGCCGCCGCTGCGCCACCACCGGTGGTCTTCTTAACTGGCGTTTTCGACTCAAGCTCATCCTTGGCGGGCCCGCCCCTGGCCATTGCGGTTACCCAACTTCTTACTTGCTCCAAAACGAAGGGCTTTCCTTTAGCAATAAAAGCGTCCTTCAATCTCTTCTCGATCGGCCCATCTTCGCGAATTGTAACCCTAATTTCCGGGTCTTCATCGGCGTTCTCGTCCGAAATATACGGGATTTCGACCGTACCTTCCGTCTTAGCCAACGATTTCCCGTCAGAATCCTTGGCCTCGCCCTCCCAAGACAGAACAACGTTTAGCTCGTACCCGGGGATGATTTTCCCCTTGCGGACATTAACGTAGGCCTCGCCGTCGAACTTATCGAGCTTTTTGGTGCGGATGAAGAGATTTCCCTCGCCGCCGAGGATGGTTTGATCAGCTAAAAGCTTGTTGAAGAAGCTGCGGGACCATTCAAGGCAGTTGGTCTCGGCCCAGTGCCAGTTGTGGACGTTGGTGCCGTCCGGGCGGTCCTCAACGATCCACCGCTTGTCTCCTTCTCCGATCTTAGCCATACAATACTCCGGCGACGGCGGCGGGCGATTGCGAAGAAAAATAGAGTCCCAAAGAGCTTAGATTCGGCGAATTGAGTTAGAAAAAGTAGTTGAGATGTAGAGATAAAATTGAAGGGTTTTGGAGTCTGGAGGGTTCTGAAAGAAGTGTCCAGAATTTTCAAGTCGGATAGGCCCAACAAACTCGGAAAGTTCAGCATGGTTAAGACTTAAGAACAATCTAGAAGACCTAAACCAGAGACTAGTGACTAGTGATTTTTTTATTTTATTTTATTTTTTTAGAATTATGGAATTTTTTTGGTCTCATAATGAAAAGTTAAATCTAGGCAAATCACAATAGAGCTTACGTCATAATTTGTGAAAACTATTCCCAATTGTACACTTAGGTTACGAATTGTGTGTTATTACATAAGAGCGAGTTGCGATAATGATAATACTATTTCATAGTGAAACTTCTAGCTAAATTAAAACCTACAGCTTTCGTCATAATTTGTGAAAGCGGCCCTTCCTACACACTTGAAGTCATGGGTTTATGATCAAGCATGTTGCTCTTCTCTATGGTTTGTGCGTTATTACACAAGAATAATGAGCGAAATTGACTACGTACACACTCTCAGATAGTTTTTAGTGTCTCTTGTATTAAAAAAATAAAATTTTATCAATCTTTAATTGTTAATTTAGTCTTGCATTGCTTCAAGAAGTACCAGCTATTTATAATTACTCTAGAAGCTCAATAAGCAAAACAACACAAAAATGACAAAATGTTAGTCCACTAGTGTGTCTAAATCCTCAACTGGGAACAAAGCAACACTCCCCAGAATCTACCACAAAACTTCCCTAAACAGCCATCCCATCTCAGAAAACTTTATAACTGCAAATGTTGTAGCCCTAGGAAGTAGCACACAATCTCAGAAAAACTTCCTAAGACAAGGTTTTAACAGTTTAGGGTTTAGGATTGATTCCCAGTAAAAAATAATTAAAACAAAGTACTCTTCTTGTTGCCTCCGGTAAGTAAACTGAAAAATGGGTCTTCTTCTGTAGTTGAAGAACCACCCTTTTCCTTTCCTTGAAGGCAATGTCCTGGTTCATTCACAGATGACGGTGAAGGAGCAGGTCTTTTTACCGAGACAAATGCAACATTACGCTTTGCTTTAGGCTTGATTTTCACTTCAGCATCACTCTTAAGCATTCCGCTTCCAGTAGAAAAAATACTCTTGTCAGGAGAAACCGCAATATCAGAACCTGGTGGAACTTGCGTCTCATCATCATTAATCTCAGGGATTGGACTCAAAAGGGAACTCTTATCCTTTTTATTCAAGGAAGATGATCTTTCTACATTAACTTCATCAGGGACAGTCTTATCACATTCGTCTTCTCCTAGGAAAATCTCTACACTTTGGTACTTAATCTTTGATGTTTCAATACAAGCATCTTCTTTGATTTTCTTTTCCTGGTTTTCAACCTCACTTGCACCTTTCTTCTCAATTAATCTATACTTATCTGTCTCCCAAATGCATTCTAGGAAAGTAGGCTGTTGCTTTGCGGGATAATATTCTCTAAAAACCTCAAATCGTTCTTGAGTTAACCTAACTGCTTGTTCCTTTTGAGAAAGAGAGGATACACGGTTGAATACAAAAACAACATCTAGAAGCATTTGCTGAACCAAAACTCTGATTCGTGCCAACAAAGCCAACACCGTCAATGAAAACCCCAAGAAAAATGATCGAGCAAGAAGAGTCGATACCTGTGTTGCTGCCTTCAACATCGGCTCAGTCATCTGTGACAACAGGTGAGCAACTCCCAGGAGCCGATCCAAAAAGTTGTGCTTGTTACTGTCTGTTCTTCTCCTCTTCAGGCTTTCCAGAAGCTGCACCTTTTGCCTAGGCCTCTTTCCATTGATGACATCAAATGAGGCACTGAAAATTTCCTCTGGATTTGCTGATTTGAGAAGTCTCAAGTCTCTTCTCACCTTCATCAGGTACTGAAAGTAAGAGCATCTTCTGTGTTGATTCTTGTTTTTGTACACAATTCGATCGAGAATGCCAAACTCCGATTGAAGCTGACTGAGAAACGATTTCAACCTTTGCTCAACAGTTTCAATCTCCAAACCCACAACTTCAGCCATCAAGTGGAGGTGGGAGGGCAGAGCTAGGGTTTTTGGGTTGGCTCCACTCAGGTTTACAATGATACTCGGATCACGTCAAAGAGACCAAAACCTAATACAGCTCAAATCTTGCAAACAATGAGATCTTGCCAACCTCTCTCGGTGTTCTCCATGACAGCTTCATTCCCATATCTGCATTATCATCATATCACACAATGATAAATGATCGTGTTGTTAAAGTTAAAAGAGCAATTAGCTTAAGCAATAGAATCATTCACCTGTGGCACGTCAGTGTGGCTCAACTTAAAAAATGTAACTCCAGGTTCGGCTCATCAAAAGTGAGTCAGACCTGCAACAAACACCAACTGGATTGCATCAATTAATCAATTTGACACTCTGAAACCTCTCTTATCCTAAAATTGTCCATATAATGCACTGAATTAAGCATACAGCATGCAGTCTCACCTACTTGTGTTCAGATAATTACATATTCACAGGTTTGCTCACGCCTCCACTGGCCAACTATTCAGTCACGTAAAAGACAATACTTTTTTTCCCTAAATGAAGAGTAGTTAATGGCAACTATAGCTCCCACTTGTGCGGGACGGGGATTACAATTACACTTTCCATCATAAGCATGGATAAGGTGGCTTCAGATTTAGCCAATATATAATATAGAGCTCCCTCCTCTGGCCCACCAAGCCAACTCTTGAAGAACAACTTGTCAGGCCATCCTCTTTGTCACTCTACAAATATAAAATCTCTTTCCCCAATCAATTCCAAACTCCTATACATCCTCAATTCTCAAATCAAGTGCTCTTAATCCTCAGTTCTAAGTGCATAGTGACCAAATTTGTGTTCCTGTTAAATAGTAACAAGCAAATATGATTATTTCCCCACATTGCACCATATTATGAATATTCGTATCTGGATGAATTTGTATTGCTTTACTCACAGCAGTGCTGTGTTCTAGCTTTCTGTTCTTTTGAAATTTCCCTTTAGAATGTGTACAGATTAACCTTTTTGTTTTACCTCAACCTAATAAAATGTGCATACAAACCAAATCAAAACGTAGAATGTAAGAATTCATGTAAGTATATAAGCCTAAAGCATATGAATTTATACCGTGTAAGAATTCTCGTCTGAAATATATGGGATTTCGATAGTACTCTACGTCTTAGCCAACGATTTCCCTTTAGAATCCTTGGCTTCGCCCCTCCAAGGCAAAACAACACTTAGCTCGTAGCTGGAGATGATTTTCACCTTGCGAACATTAATGCAGGCCTCGCCGTCGAGCTGATCGAGCTTTTTGGTGCGGATGTAGAGATTTCCCTCGCCGTCGAAGATGGCTTGATTAGTTAAAAGCTTGTTGAAGACTGAAGAGAGACCCAAATTGTTTGTTTATTGCTTGCACAGCCCATCTCGTAAATTTCAGGGTAAACTATTAAAATTAAGTATATAATATATATGAAATTGGCCCTTTTATTATTCATTATTTTTGAGTGATTGATTGTTTTAGATAGATGAACCATGTCAAGGATTTTGTGATTTAATGACACTAAATTACTTCTTCTGAGGCATTCAAAAAAAAAATTACTTCTTCTGAGAAGTTGTGGGATTGAACCTAGTGGATGAGATATTACCTTTTGTGTTTTATTTAATTAAAAAAAATAGTTATAAATAGATACTACATTTTAATTTATTTTTTTTTTGGGGTAAAGGGGGTGGGGAAAAACCCAACAAGGCTAATCCCGGATGTCTGTAGTTACATAACGCACCCGGTCCATACTTAAGAACTCTTTAATGCACTCAGGCGGGCCATTGAATTCAATCCAGTCACACTGAGATCTTGGCGCCATTTTGGCAAGCTCGTCCGCAACAGTGTTATTCTCGCGCCTTGTGTGGGAGATGTCTACAGTCCACTCTTTCTCAAGCCACTCTTTGCACCATTCCACCTTATAAAGACACTAAAATGAACAAAATTAACCCATCACTTTAGATAGGGACGGAGCTACAGTGGGGACAGTTGCCCCCCTCCTCCATATATATGAAAGGTCTTTGAATATGTCGTTTTTATATTTTAATATTTGCACCCACTGAAGAAATTTTATGACTTCGCTCTTGCATTTAGAAACCCCTTTAGGATAAGAAATACCTCAATTGTCATCCCATAACACACAGAATGAGCAATGTATGAATAATCAATATATTAAACGTTAAGAAATACAACTATCACATGTCACTTTGACATGTTTTTTTTTTCCTTAGGTGAAAAAATAAAGTGTAAATAAACTATAAATAATGCACCTTGTCAAGTCACTTCAACATATTCAACTATCAGGACATGCCAAACAACCTCATAATAGTTGATAAGAATCCAACATCAACTTATATTGTCAACTAATTTGCACAAAAAATTGATTATCTATGAATATATTACTGTTATCAAGCTCATGTACAATAAATACAATATAAAACAAACGGTCTCTAACATTTACCAAAGTGACGTTACATATTTTAATTAATTATCGATCCTGGTAGGGAATATCCTGACCGACATAGCGTTACCCCGACCGGTGTGCCTTCGTCCTTTTCTTCTTGTCTTTGCAGGTAACAGGTCGGGTTTCTTGTGAAGAATCCGGTCGGGATCCGACCGGGTGTTACCCGAGTGGCAGTGTCGATCACCGAGCGGTAGCCCTTTAGCGAAAGAGCTGACGAGGAACACGTGGCGGCTCCACGCATCGACAGGCAGGGCACCCGGGGAGGCGACACGTGGTTGCTACGTGGGAAGCATGCCGGACGGCCGGATTTGTGTCTCCGGCTCCGCGGCTATAAATACCCGCGATAGCGACAGTGTGGGGGACTTTTGGACGATCGATAGGTTGTTATTAGAGAATCCCGACCGCAGTCAGTCGATACTCAGAGCAACCATTTAGATTGTACTTAGGGCCTTTACTGTGATCAATAAGAGTTATTTACTTGTTTTAATTGGTCTCATATTTACTTAATTACCGCACTACGTGGCAATTAACACTATCAGATCCAATTATAAAAGAATTAATTAAAATTGTGTTTAATTTACTAGTTCATACTTTAGCTTCTACAGCTTTTGGTCAATTTACTATTATGTATTAAAATGTTATTTCTCCAAACTCTATTTCAGCTTTTGATATATACCGATTTGATTCCTTTCAAAAAACAAAAATTTATTCTATCAAATATCAATACATCAATTACTATCCTCAATATTTATAAATCATTTGTATACTTTAATTTGTGAATGTAAACTTGAGGTTACAAGTTACAACCTCAAAAGCAATTTGCACGATTGTAATTGAGGTGAAGGGAGGCACGTAGAATTGAAGATAAACGTGCGAGAGAGTTAGTTATATCGGTTAAAAGGGGAGGAAGCGAGTTTCCCGCTATAATCTAAAAAAAAACTTCTCTGCCTCTTCCCTTCCTTCGAACGGACAGAGGGAGAAAGAGAGAAAGAAAGAAAGAAAGAGAGAGAAAGAGACGACAGAGAGAGAAGGGGAGAAGAAAACAGGAAAATCATCCTCTTTCTTCTTCTCTTTCTTCTCTCTCCCAAACAACTCCGTTTCGGCTTCCGCTCGTCGTTCCTTCCAGTTTTCGGTAAGGATTCGATTTCATTCGATTCCATTCGATTCATTGATTTTGTTTTTGATTGATTTCTGGAAATTTGGCGTTGTAGGAGTTGGATTTGGATTGGCGGTGTGCTAAATTCTGAATTTCATGTGGATCGGTTAATTAAGATTGCCATACTCTATCCTAAGGTTGCGGTCTGAACAATGTTCTGCTGTGGGGGTTCTGAGGAGGATAGCCATAGCGGTCCACCGGCTAACCAAAGCACTGCCCCTCCTAGAGGCGGCAACCCCTACGGTGGCGCTGGCGGTGGTATGTATCCGCCTACCAACACTTTTTTTTTTTTTTAATTTTAATTTGCTTGGGAAATGAAATAGGATAATATAATCAAAAGTTGTTGGATAAAGTGGAAAGGGATTGAAATTGGGCAACCCAATCAAGTTGGTCAAGCTGTTGATTAGGTAATCACGAGGTTACAAGTTCGACTCATAGTAAGAACAGCCTATTAACTTTATTGATTTGGGTATAAGCTGGTTTACCTCTTTCTGGATTGGAATGGGGCAACCTCTATTAAGTTGGTCATTAGGTAACCACAAGATTACAAGTTTGACTCTCTATCAGAGCAGCCTATTGGCCGTCAACCTAGGCTAGTTTACCTCTTTGTGGTCCTTTGCCGCATAGGTAGGTTTACTCTTAGGCCTCGGATAATGGTTGCAGGTTTTCCTCCAAACTAAAAAAAAAATAAGGGATTGAGATGCAGCATGCAAAAAGTTCTTCATTTTTGTTGTTGGTTGAGATGTTTTGTTCCTTGGGATATTGTTGCAGGTGATAGGGGAGGAGAGCCAAAGGGAGCTGGGGGTGGGAGAGGTGAAGCTCCCCAGAAAGTTCTACCAATAGAGATACCTGCTATGGAATTGGATGAGCTGAATAGTTTGACCAATAACTTTGGGCAAGAAGCTTTGGTAGGAGAAGGATCATATGGCCGTGTTTTTTCTGCGACTTTGAGCACTGGGGAGCTAGTGGCCATTAAGAAGTTGGATACCAGTTCTACATCCGAGCCAGATTCTGACTTTGCAGCACAGGTAAATTAAATATGCCCATTTTTTATTTGTTATTTGATCAATGCCAAATCCTTACATTGCTCCTTTTTTTCTTATTATGCAGTTATCAATGGTTTCAAGACTTAAGTGTGATCATTTTGCAACGCTTCTCGGTTATTGCCTGGAGGAGGACAATCGTATTCTTGTCTATGAGTTTGCAACATTGGGCTCTTTGCACGATGTGTTACACGGTGTGCTAATGATTATTCTATAAATATATCCTTGTTTTTATTAGTTCTAGATAGTTGCAAAAGCACAAATTTGTTGTCTTGTGACATCATTGTTGGTTCTTGGGATGTCTGGTTGCAGGCAGGAAAGGTGTACAAGGTGCGTCGCCAGGTCCAGCTCTTACCTGGGGTCAGAGGGTGAAGATAGCATTTGGAGCAGCGAAAGGGCTCGAATTTCTACACGAAAAAAATCAGCCACCTATTGTTCATCGCGATGTTAGGTCCAGCAATGTGTTACTCTTTGATGATTTTAATGCTAAGATTGCAGATTTTAACTTGACAAACCAGTCATCTGACACAGCAGCTCGGTTGCATTCAACCCGAGTCTTGGGAACATTCGGTTATCATGCGCCTGAGTAATCCTCGTTTCCCTCTCCTTTCCAGTATCATAGAAAGAGCATTACATTACAGTAGGAGCCTAAACAAACCTAAGCTTGCAGTCAAGGATTTTGTGTTCTTTTTCAGGTATGCAATGACGGGTCAGATTACTCAAAAAAGTGATGTTTACAGTTTTGGAGTCGTTCTTTTAGAACTTTTGACAGGGAGGAAGCCAGTAGATCATACAATGCCTAAGGGTCAACAGAGTCTTGTTACATGGGTACATCCATGTTGAGACAGAACACATCCTTCAATTGTCGATTGTTGATACAAAACATAATATCCACATTTCAAATGAGTCTAATTTCTGTTTGATTTTCTGCAGGCCACTCCAAGATTGAGTGAAGATAAAGTGAAACAATGTGTGGATCCCAAGCTAAATAATGAATATCCCCCAAAGGCAGTGGCTAAGGTAATCTCTGATTCTCTGGCAATCTTAGAGTAAGACCATACCACATTTCTGTGTAAAAAAAAAAAACAATTGTTTTCTAAAGATCTGCCTGATGTTTTTCTCTACTTTTCATCGGTTTTGTCTCCCCCCCCTCTCAGTTGGCAGCTGTTGCAGCACTCTGTGTTCAATACGAGGCAGATTTTCGGCCAAATATGACAATTGTTGTCAAGGCATTACAACCACTTGTGAACTCAAAGCCAGCCAACGAGTCCCACGCGAGACCTGTCTGAACATCTGAACAGAACAATGGTTTGAATCAGCTGTTCAGGTTTCAGAAAACGGGCATTACTGCTGGATCATGCTCTAAACTCGGAAGGTGAATTGGGCATTTTGGTTGTAAGCAAATTCATCAGGCCAATGGAAAATCTGCTGAGCATGAATGCCTTTCTGATCTTTTGGTAATTTTGTACATTTTTTATACCTTATATAAAGGTTTAATCACCAGACTTATATTAGCTTTATTGTCTTCTCTATCTTTTATATGCCATTAGAAATCATTAGTTTAGAGGATTCTTGGATTTAATCCTTCTTTCTTGAACAAGAAAGTATTTATGTATTTATATATAGAGAAATGAAAAACTGGAGAATTCAAGTAAACACAGACATCCCTGTAACTTATTATACAAGTCGTACAAGTTTTTTATTTTTCTTAGAGAACACCGATGAAGGTGACTATCAGAAGCAAAAGGGAAAACCCGGCATGAGCCTGCAACAGATCAATCCATCTCTTTCTGAACAATGCTGTGCTTGAACTTGCATTGAGATCTATAGCCACCAATAAATTGAAAACACACAACAGTTGAGAGTTAGAGTTTATAGTAGAATTTGTTACTAAAAAAAGGTAACTAAGAAAGGCAATAAGTTACCTCCTGTGCTTGTGTTATTGCCACTTACTGAGCTGCTGGAGAATTCTTCAAAAATCTTAGCATCTGGGGAGTTTGGAGGCAAGTGCAGAAGCGCTGAGACATACACGAGAGGAATTAATTAAGCTTCAAGAGCTAAATTTCACTATGTTTTTAGCGTCTTTTTTATTTAAATTTTTTTGGATGACAAGAAAATCTATAGTCACTATCGAAGATATACACTGGGTAACTTGCCACCGATAAATGACTGTTTTTAACATTTTAGAACACAAGGAGGTGAGATTTTACCCTAAATTAGATTCTTCAAAAGGAGTACTTGGTACTCAGCTAAATCAAGAAAATTACACTTTTGATCCTTCAGTAAATTATACAATTTAGTTTCTTATTGTGAATTTTAAGAAATATAGTCCCTCAATTAGTTAAACAGTTGCAAATTTGGTCTCTGCTAACAAAAAACATTCAAAACTAAGATTTTTAAAAGTTAAAGGGAGTGGCTAAAGCTTTCTTGACGATAGATTGTGGGTAAAATTCCAAAACAAACCTTCCAAAAATTCTAATTTCAAATGACTCCCTACCAACTCTTCAAACAATAAATCATGACTAAATTTTTTTAAAATTAACCATAAGTGACATAACAGTCGAGCAAAACTGTTGGACAGATGTTGGTAAAGGACAAAATCCAGCAATATGTGACTAGAAGGATTGTTGTGCAGAAGTCGAAAAGGGTCAAGTCTAACACCCTACCCTCGAAAATACAATTACACATTCACTATAAGCATTTTATTCTGACAAAAACTAAAAGTGCCATTTTTTTTTCCAATAAGAATACTCTTTAAAAGACTTACTAAGGCATTCGGAGACATTAGTAGGAGCACGGCAAAGGGAAGGGAGACTGAGGGCCAGTGTGCCATTGATCTTTAACCCAAGCCCCGGTTCATTTCGGTCCTTCACCAGTACGCACAGGCACAACCTCGTTTTCTTCAGGTCCTTCCTGATCTCGTCGCAGCAAGCCGTGGTCGGAAACTTAGCATCACCACTCACAAAAGTGAGACAAGGCGACAGACCAATCAACTGGTCCTGGCATCGCTTTTTGTCTTGCGCAAAGTCTGAACTTACACCCCCAACCATCAAACACAACAGAAAACACAAGATTTTGAGACTACCCATCGGGCAGGATGTTTAGTTTACTTGATTAGTTCATATGTGTTGATTAATATAATATAATGCATGTCTTATCTGCGAATTTAATTTATAATGAACACATTGCGGGCAGGAGGAAACTTGATTGTATTGGCAGATTAGAATCGTGTTATTGAAACAAGTTTGCATGATGATGATTCATCGTGATGTATAATGTAAATTAAGGTTTCGTGTGGCGGCGTTTTTGGTTCATATCACGCTAATGACGCATTCAACTATATTATTCACTTTATCCACCTCAACATCATCAATTACATTCATTTTCTTCCACCATTTTTTTTTATTAATAATATCTCTTCACCAATATATATCAGTAACATATATATTTGATGTATGGATGAGATGACGCGAGTCTCTTTCAGTTTAACCATTGGTATCCGAACCACCCAATCGTGCTCCAGCCAAGTTGTCCACAGGTCCCATTGGTCTACTTGTTTTCTATTTGGCATTGATCCAATTGATAGCTCTCTTCAATCCCCATTTTGACAAATCACATTATTACTTGCTAATCTACATTAACGTCTCTACAAATCTATTGCATTCGGCACCTGAAATGCCTTTAAATAGAAACATCTAGTTTAGATTATATTATTGCCAATTTGGTGATTGTTTGTTTCAGTACTTCAGTGGTAGTGAGCTAGCAACCATTATGAAATTCATTATTGAACCTATTTTCAACTCTCACTACCTAACCACATTATGAAATTCATTATTCAACAACCTATTCCAACGCAATCTAACTCACTCATTGTTTATTGCAAGTCTCATCTTTCACTCATTGTTACTTCTAAACCTTACTAAACAAATAATAATAACAATAAAACTACAATTTTGATCAGATCAAAGTATCAAACTATGATCCGGACAACCACAATCAACACTTCATTGAGAATATCATGCCATTCATTCAGTGCAAAGGCTATATTGTTCAATAAATAAGTAGTACAAAAAGAAGGCGAGTTGAAAACAAAATTCCAAGAAGGCATCAAACGCTGATTAACTATTCTCATAAAAGATACATCTTAGTATCCACCCTTGAGATCGTTAACCACATCGTATGGGATGGGTGTAACCGTCTCTAAAGTGGCACCTTCCACCATAAAACCGGGTTTGGGACCCTGTGGCTGCCGCTTTGTGCTAATCACCTCACCTCTGGCTTTCGCCTCGGCCTTGAGCCGATCATTGTTCTTGATCCTTTCCTTGACCTCCTCGGTGCACCTGGAAGCTTGAACATGCTCAATGCGGACATGGATCCTCTTCCTGATGATCCTATTCCCAACCTGTGGTCACACCAGTATGGCAAAAAACATACAATCAGAACAGGTGTGGAATAAAAAGAGGAATAGCAACTACATAGGATACAATGAATAGCACAACTTAATGTAGATTAGCAGCAAAGAAGGCTCTTTAAACTTCCAAATAAAGAGAACAAACCAGTACAGCAAAAAAGATACAATCAGCTTATGCATGAAATAAAAATAGATATAGCAACTATATAGGATACAGGGAAGAGCACACTTAATGTAGATTAGCAGCAAAGAAGGCTCTTTAAACTTCCTAGTAAAGAAAACAAACTAGTAAGGCAAAAAAGATACAATCAGCTTATGCATGAAGTAAAAATAGAAATAGCAACTAAATAGGACACAAGGAATAGCCCACTCAGTCTTACATTAGCTACAAAGATTGCTCTTTTAACTTTCAAATCAAGAGAAAGTTGGTCAAATCAATCAGAAAGGAAATGCAAGGATTGCTCACATTAAGATTTTGGTCATGCAAACCACAATTTCTTAGGAATATTTACATAACATAATGCAATTACTTCCCTAGTTAAAACAAAACTACCATTGCACAAGAAATAAATAATTCCTAGAATATTACCAACAAAATATTGCTATTGCTTGGCATTTCTTTGTCAGACTTCCAATAACTAATTCTGATACACTCATCACCTTTTAAAGCTCATGAAGTACATAAATATAATAAAATGATTTTGATCTTCATTACTTAATTGAGATACTGCATCTTTCAACTAAAACACTAAAACATTCAAAGTTCAAATTTTTTTTATAAAAAGCACAAAGTTGGCCCTCTGGAGGCAATGTATTTTCTGCTATCAAGTGAAATTCTGCTGGTTCATGAAGTCCTATTGTTTTTCAACTTCAATCACCTTTATTTCGATTAGGCAAAACCGCAAAACAACTGAACCTGGTATAACTATCATCAAAGATGTAGATACAAGCATCATATATATATAGAATCGTACGGCTTAGCTAAAATATATCTTTAAAATGGAGTATACAGACATCATTTCTTAAGACGCAGAGCTAATCAAGCAAGGGAAATACCTGTTTGTTGACTTCAACGCCAACGGCGCGCTTGGTGATATTCCAGATACGACCGGTGCGGCCGTGGTAGAACTTGTGCGGCATGCCCTTGTGCACGGCGCCGTTGACCTTGATATCGACATAGTCTCCGACGTGGTAGATCCGGAGGTAGGTGGACAGCGGGATAGTTCCGCGCTTCCTGAATCCACGGGAGAAGAGATCCCTCGTCCGCGCCCTTACACCGTGACCGGCCGGCATTTTAGCTCCTTCGTCTCTGCTCTCCGGCTGCTCAGCTCCTGGTGTGTAGATTGATAAAACGCCTCTGAAAACCCTAGCTGGAGTTTATAAGAGGATTAGGGTTTTCGATTGCCAATGGACCGGATAGCTTATGGACTTCGAACTTTGGGTTTAAATGGGCTATGGCCCATTTTCATGTCAAATTTCTGATGGCCCAAAAACAGATTTTTGCAGATGATTTCCAAGAGCTTAACATGCTGGCCCATATCATCGGATGAGCCCAATTAACTTATGGTCCACTTATTGACCCCAAATTATTATGTGGACTCGGGTCCACCTTGCAAGGTGGACTTGGTCCACAAAATAATTTGGGCTAATTGATAGTACTAATTCGCATAGACTAGTAGTTAGACCGATCGCCATGGCTCAACACCTGCAAGGTTATGGTCGGGCCCTCCTAATAAGGAGCTGTTCCAGAATCGTCAAAAGTCCCCCTTGCCATAATAAATGCGGGTATTTATAGACGGAGAACACAGTCCGGGCCACTGGCATGGCGACCACGTGGCGTATACGTATCTCCATGAGCATCAAACCCTGACACGTATGGCTACGTGAAGCCAAGGCCTCACGCAGCTCGGTAGAAGACGGGCGGAACAGAGGTCGGGAAAGATATCGGTTGGGAGGCAAAGGTGACACTCAGACCGGTCAGCTTCGCTCGGAACAAATCAGGAACAGGTCAGTGGTCAAAGCCCGACCAGGTGTATAACCTATCACTAATATTCCGTTAATACTTTTAATATTGACATTGTTTTTGTTAAAACTTGAACATATGATTCTATACTAGCTTATAAATACCTACTTTTAACCAATGGATCAGATTATAACTAACTCATCATATCATATTAGGCACATTGTGGATGAAATGAGAAGTTCAAATGCTATACACAAATACTATACGGAGTAGCATACCTACATCTTAGACTGATTAATTTATCTCATTATGATCTTTTGCCGACTAAAGTCGATCATAATAAGATAATCGAACTTCATATATATGTAGCACACCTTCAACTCTTCAAGTAGGGCATGCAGAATTTCTCATCACAAGTAGTAGCGTACTTACGTGGTGGGTAGTTTTCTTTTATTTCTTTTATATGTGTTAATTTGGTGTCGTCCTTCAAAGTGATGGTAGTGTTACATGATGATATGAGACACGGTGGGAAAGAGGTCAATTATAAGATGGTGATCGTACAAACACCACTTGCCGTAGGTTAACTCCTGTCCTTATCACTTCACCACATCATACTTATTACACTACTTGTCCACCACTCTCAGGTATGCATGTGGATCCAGATCTATCTATCCCAATTTCTTTGATGAATCATATATACAACTAATTAGCTCATCATATCTAATGTGTGTCTCTTTTAACTTAAACACGGGTCTTGGATTTGAGCCTTAAGAATGCAACTACTTCAAAACTCATAAGAAGTGATTGTTTTGCCACCCTTTGAGATTCTATCTGACACGAACATGATTAGTATAAATGTGTGAGTCTTTACTAAGATTTATGTAGTTATTGCTTATAATTGTTTACAAACGGATCGGATAAATATCAACCAAGTAAAAAAAAAAAAAAAAAAACAGCATAGTCGTCATCAGAAACAAAATGATAGAAATAGTTTTAACTTTTATATGATGGAAGCATACAATTATAGTAAAACACAGCACATGCATCGCACAGGTAGAGAGAGCTGAACCGTGGCGTATTTATATATAGTACTAGCCTGGTGCAGAGGTTTGGTCTGTTTGTCTGGACCCAAACTATATACACACGTTGGACGACACAAATCTGATCTAATCAACCTGCCGCAGGTAGTAATTATAACTGCCCATTTATACTTAATTTAGCTATCCTAATTAGTTGTGCTGCAGACACAACAAATCTCTAGCACAATCCCATGTAAGTAATCATGTCAAAAAATGTTGCACTTCAACTTCAATCTCGATAATTTCTACTTATCTGAAAGTCTTGATAAAAAGTGAAAACGGTAAGTTTTGAAATTGGCTCAACTGCCTATAAGTTTAGAAGTACTTGTTCATACACACATAAGTGTACGTCCACAATTACCCTCCTTGGCTAAGAATTGAACCCGGCCCGCACTTTATATATGGTGGTTACTGGTTAGTGCATTAGGCCAAAAGTTACAACTGGTAGTAAATTAAATATGCAACAATCCAATGACAACTACTAGCTAGCCTCGAACTAACGCTCGTCACTATACCAAAAAGCTATAGGGAGTAGTGAATGCGCAATTTTAATTTTTTAATTAAATACTTGCATAGCCGCCTGCACTATGTGTTCAATGGCGGGATGCTAATATTTATACATATTTAAAGAAAAATATTTAAAAATATACACTAATATTTATTTATATTTATACTTTTCTCACGCATTATTTCGTATCATGAGTTTCCCATTTTCCCGGCCCTTTCCTTGTTCCTTGTTTTCCCGTAATTTAGGCAAAGTTATTATTAACTCTTTTTTAGATTAGTCAATCACTTAACCACACAATACATTAGGGCTCATTGTATGTCTTAGCTCCATCATAGCTTGTAATACAAGTGAAAATAATGTTTAAAATTTGAGCCTTGTGAATGCATTGGATCATATCGGAGCAACATACGTGGAAAGAGTTTCTCCAAATAAATAATATTCTATAACATATAATAATTCAATTTTAAATTAAAGAATTATTGTGAACGATAACACGAAATGTCATATATTGTTTTCATAAGATGGACACATTTTGGCTACATTAAATATGTATATATTAACTAATAACTCTTTGATTTATGAGAAAATAACCACTTAGATTAAGATAAGAAAGAAAGTTAAAACTTAAAATTATCTCTTAACAAAAAGATGAATTTACAAGCGTAGATCTAAACTCACGTTGTGATCTTTCACGCTTGGTTTTGGCTCAAACCCGTACCGCCCGATTTGTCGCGCATTAGGGCTACTCATCGCCATCACAGACGGCGGCGCGTTAGCTAACAACGGCGGCGGATGCATTAAACGGTGGTTATGAGATGAAGAAGAATTATGTTGAACCGTCGGGAGCCGCCATAGGGGCAGTGGACTCCCATCGATCGGAGTTTGAGAGTAAGGACTAGCAGCACCGTGGGCGGCGGCGATACGGCTGCCGTAAACCCTAGCGGCAGTCGGGAAGAAAGGAGGAGTCGCCGGCGCGGGAGCGGAGTGGAGGAGGCGGTAATTCGAGACGCCGGCGCCGGCGGCGATGATCATTGCCGGGGAGTGGAAGTGGGCCCGTTTGGCGTGCTGGCGTTCGCGCTTGTGGGCGTTCTGGTGGCCGCCGAGGGCCTGAGAAGTGGGGAAGTTCCGGCAACAGTACTGGCACTCAAATCTCCGATGGCTCATTATTATTCCCCCGCCGTTATACTCATTATTATGCCCTACCGCGTCGGTCACTGCCGCCGGGTCAGCGCCGCCGAATTCTCGCCCGAAGAGCCTAATGGGCTTCTCCTTCAGCGGCGGCGGCGGACGCATAAAGGGCAGCTGAGAGAAGGAGTCGACGTTCATGAAGTCGCGAGTAGCCGTATCCATGTCGTCGTATGTAAGTAATATACCTCGTACCAGCGGTCTTATCTAGCTTGTTAATCACTAAAACAATAATTAAATAAGTTAATCTTAATTTAGTGTGTGAAGTTTGGAAGTTGAAATATAGAGAGGAAAAGGGATGAAGGAGGGGGTGAGCAAGAATGTGAATGTACAAACACATGTATGTATCTATATTGTAGCCAATATAATGGGCTATCATGGGGGGTGGGGGGTGGGGGACCGAAGCTAGAGTTACCTTATAGAATTGAATAATGGTCTTATGGGTACAATGGGGATGCATGCCGGATAATTATAATTGATATGACTACCGAGCATTGCTGGAACGGTAAGAGTTTTCACAGAAAGTGACTTAAAATTTAGGGTTATTACAATATCAGATTTTAAATCTAAATATTTAAGTTTAGGGCGCGTCGCGCGCATGGAGACTAAACGACCTTGACAATAGTAATAATAGTAATCGTTATAGTTTTAATTTACTGTATTTCTTAGCTGCCTTCAAAGCCATGAGAATCTTACAACTACAAAATACGTGCAGAATTTCACTACTCTTGATATTGATTGATAGTTTAAAATGTATGGAAAGTCACTATTTCTTCATAAAAGGAATATTATAGTATGCACCAATGAGAGAATGGATAATGTTACATTGTTTTTGGATTTTCAAGAAGGCATCCTTTTTGGATGACCCATTTATAGATGTGGATGTGAATACTACGTGGTATAGTCGCTTGTCTTTAATATTTTGATTATTTAATTACTCATAAACTATATAATGTTGAAAGAATATGAAAATTAAAGCAATCATTTCACACAAACCCTTCAACTCTTTCCCATTAAAACCATAGCTAAGAGGTATGGAGGGGACCATTAAATCATTTTCAAACTAGCTAATGGAGATATATGCATGAAAGGTGTTAGTTCAATTATATTCCACTATACTCTCAATATAGACTAATGATCCAGTGAGACAACATCTTTCCGTGAGATTATGAGACACAACATGAATGCACAAAATTTACTATAGAAATGCGCACACACTAGATTATATGCGTTCATGTTGGGCAAATTACACACTTTAGTCTTTGTGCGGGCATTCCTGTAGTAGACTGTGTACATTCATGTTGTGTCTCACAGTTTCACATAAAGATGTTGTATCATTTGATTATTTATTGTTATATTTATATGGATAGGAAAATGATAATAAATACTCTAAGAGAGTAAAACTCTCTGGGATCCACTTGTCTAAATTTTATTGGAGAAATAGAAAACAAAAGAATTAAAATTGTGATCAGAAATCAAAATATATTGCGTTAGTATAGAGTATACAATAAAGTAAAAAATGAGAGTATATGTAATATTACTCGTATAGATACGAGCGGTCAAGAAAAGCTGCTGCATATATCATAATCAAAACCCTAATTCTGAAAGAAAATATATGTATGCATGTGTAGTGCAGCAATGAGGTGAGGGAAAGCTGACTAATCTGGTTTTGCCCCGGCCCACGTTCAAAGTTTCAAGTGGCTGCAGCATGAAGAAGATGATCTGACGATGATGTGACATATGTCCCAGGTGGAGTTAATCAAAGATGTCACCTTACTAACAAACCTAATTATTTGTGTGGAAAAACAAACAAATTTTAAGGACATGGTTTTATGCTTTTGGCTTTAATTTTCTAATTGCTTAAATGCCTAATCTCTCAGATCTCTCTCTATATATGTGTATATGTATATGCAGCTTGCACGAGCAGCTCAACTGGCCATAAGAGTGAAATTTGAAAGAATGATCAAAGATTGAGTCTCATCAGCAACAGTGTGGAAATAACCTCTGGGGTTCCTACATAAATTAAACATCTTGAATTGCTAATATATAGTTGCTCCAATATATATGAACTAACAAGAAGGAAGCATATATATATATATGAACGATTCAATTCATTGAATTCCAAAGCGGAAGCGTCGGTGACATATCACTTTCCTTAGATTTAGAGAGGATTTTGATGTTCCATCATCGTACATGCATATATGTTTGTTTCTCCTGCCATGCATGCTTGTCACCGCATATGACACCTCCATCATTTCATTCTTATATATACACTTATTACAATATTACCTAACATTATCTTACTCGATATGACCTTTTAGTGATGACAATTAAATAGTAATAAGAACATTTGACTACCTTGCACATATTTTATTATATTGTGTGAGGAAGGAAACTCGCAATCATTATTCAGATGTGTGCACTAAATAAATTTCGCTCATATATAATAGTTTACAAATTACACAAGAGGGTTCATGCATATGCTGCTAGGAAGACCACGAACTCAACCAGAAAGATCTTAACAAAAATCAAACTCCTGAGTTTTTAATATGAAAATCATGTTTCATCCCCTCAGTCATCCTTTTCAGTACAACTACAAACAAAATCTTGAGTAAGGTGTTTTTTCGCTATGCAAATTGGAAATTCACACTAGCTAATAGTACTCTCCCCTTGGATCGGTAGGTCCTATTGCTTAGTTTGTAAATGTATGGACGACACAAGAAATTGCAATCAGTCATCACATCATATACTGTTCTTCTATTTATTACAAGTTATATTATTATATATGAGGAGACACAATTACATAATTTTATGATATCTTGATCAGTCATAATATTAAATCTTTTTTGAATATATCAGAAGAACAATCCAAATTAAATTGTATAAACCGTAAAAACCCACCTCAAGGATATCCTCAAACAATATGAACTTTCCCCTTCAATAGATGCACAAAATACTAATATCCCAAATGTTATATGGATGGATGGAGTCGATGACGCACATTTGGCGGTGGGACTTGCGGTACTTGTTGCCTTCAGTAGTAAGACAGCAACATTGCCTCAACTCCCATTATTATCACATATATGTGGTCCTGCCCAAAAATACCCCAACCACTTGGAGGGTAATTTGGTCCTTTTTTTGTGTGAGCTTCTTAATTAGTCGAACCTCAAATTGTATGGTTAAAGTGATCTATAGAGAAATTAATCAACGTGTATGCTAGATTCCTCACCATTATATATGCTAATAGTTACCAAGTGGCTTGTGATCCATTGGTATCCAGTTGTTCTCTAATGTGGGAGATTTAGGGTTCGAGCTTTGGTGTAGGTGTAGATTGTATATTTAGAACTAATAGGACGTTTGGTTGGAGGGGGGAATTATGTGGGAAATGATGAGAGTTGAATTATTGGGAATAAAGTGGGAATTTCCAGTGTTTGGTTGACAGGAATAGAATTATTGGGAATTTCAATTTCAATATTTGATATACATGGGAATAAGTAGTATAAAGTCAAAAATGTTCATTATTGTTGCTAGACATTAATTTTAAGTTAAAAAAAAAAGGGGTAATTTTGACTCATCACTATCTTTTTTTTTCCAGGAATTAAAGAATTTTAATTCCATGAAAATGGAGGAATTGCAATTCTATGGAATTACAATTCCCTCCAACCAAACTACGGAATTTAATGACCTTTGGAATTAGGTGAGAAGGGAATTTAAAATCCCTCCAAGCAAATGTAATAGTTTTACCTTAAACGCGCCTAGGGTGAGCTTGGTATGCTACTATTACCTTAAACGCGCCTAGGGTAAGCTTGGTATGCTGATCCATCGATATTAATAAAAACATATATAAAAATATTTTTTTTTTGAATGCTACTGGCTCTATTACATTGTAATATCTGCTCATATACTTTCTCAACCTACTGAAACACAAAGAACCAATAACGCCTCCACTGAGGCTCGAACTCATAATCTTCCAAATGGAAGTCCAACCCGGATACCATTAGACCACATAGTCCTGGTATATATATATAAAAATATTTAAATTTTAGTATTTTGAGTTTTTAAACTTTGTACTGATATTGTTTTGGATTATTTAGGCTCATTATTGACTTTAAAACTGTGCATTATATTGTTTAAACTATACAAACTATTTTCAATCCTTATACCCTACACCACGGCGCGCGTACCACTGTGCATCGCGTGCCTCCCAAAACGACGTCGTTTTGTGAGACGCAGTAGGAAGTTGCTGTAATTATGTATATTTGTTCATACAATTATGTATATTTTTTATTATGTACATTTTTTATACAAATATGTACATCCGAATCAGGAAATTTTTGTGTATTATGTTAAAAGTTTATGTTTATTATGTATTATGTTAGATTATGTGTATTATCTTTTAAAAAATAGTATGTATATTTTGTTATACAATTATGTACATTCATGTATAACATTATGTACATTTTTGAACATGAGAATTTTTTTTTAAGAGAAATTAACTGTCAAACACTGGGTAGCGAAATTAAAAAAAAAAAAAAAAATTGAAACGACGTCGTTTTGCATCTGGGCGCACAATACAACGCGTGCCGTGGTGTAGGATATAAATTGCCCTATTTATTATCCAATTATTTTAGTTTTTGAATAACCTTTTAATTAAATAAATATTGAAATTTTTTGATAGGCTGGCCCATGCTCTAAGGCAGGGCGAGTTAGCATTTTGTAGTCCGGCCCAATTGTATTATGAATGGCCCAAACAGTTCATCTAGCGTGATCAACAACCTGAAGGACCGAAGAGAGTTAGGTAGTCTCTGAGGACTGGGAGCTTCTTCGTCGATGAAAATTCTCTTCAAATCGATGGTACTTTCACACATTAACTCTTGATTTTCCTAAAATTTTGATTTATTATGTTAAAGTTGCAGTTAATTTGATCAAATACTTGCATTTAGTTGATTTCAGCACTCCGTAATTTATGTTCGTCTTTTAGGATCAGTAATTTTACTTGCAGTTATGCGATAATGAAAGACAAGAATCATAGTGCTAATACCGTCTCAGTTTTCAAGAGAATATTGACGAACTGTGCAGCTCAGGTTTGTTTTGCAGCTAACGTTCTGATTTTATAGTTAACTGGAGAAGAGGAATTTGTGGTTTATGTAATTGTGCAGAAATGCCGCTCTGATTCTATACAATTTCAGTACAATCTATAACCAAAAGTTGTTTTAATGAATAGTATGATGTGGGATAAAAAATATTCTACTTGCTAGTTTTCTTTTGATTATTTTTGTCACTTTTGATTTATGACAGCATTTTGTAGTGGATTCGTAGATGTGAAAAAAGTATAGCAGCATCTCATAGTTTTAATTTTACTTCATCTTTGATCTTTCTCCCAGGCAAAAGAGTACGGCAGTTGTGTTGCAGCAAAGGTTCCAGAAGTTGAGCGTGACATGTGCTCAAAAGAATTCCTTGCATTAAGGCACTGCATGCAGAATACGGTATGATTTCCCAATATTGGTAATCTCAAGGGAAAGTGCATGTTTTTTTTTGTTTTTTTTGTTTTTAATTGGATATTGACACATACAGTTTTGACCCACCCAGTTATTTCACAATTCCTGCGGGAAGTTGTACTTACATATTTCCTGTTGATGTACAGCTAAGAAGAAAGTCATAAACATGTATATCAATGTTGTATTGTGCATCGAGTGCAGCTGGCCCCCCGTGTTGTTGATTGAGTCAAGTGTAAAAGGTTTGATCTACTGTGCTTTTGTTAGAGTTAAACCAAATTTTGATCTCATAGTTATATGTGTAATATTCATTTTTACTTTTGTCTCTGTGGATCCAGTAGTTTAGGTGTTCTGAGTTCTGTACTTCTTCATTTAGCCAAAGTTTCCACAAAGCTTAGAGATCAGGAGCAGGAATATGGCTGCAAAAACATCTTGTCCTCACCCTCCTAGTTTTGGTGGTTCTGGTGCTCTCTCACATGTGTATATTAACTATCCTCCTTTAAGATGCAAAGTACCTGGATCTAGAGAATTATTTTACGATGATGGGACCAAACATTTAATTGCTCCTACATCTGGCCGGGTAATTTGCTTGCATAGTGATGATGGAATTTCATTTGCATATACATGTAAATTTATTGGCATTTGACATACGTGCACATGATTTTCTATGTGAACATTTGATACTATCTCTCTTCATTGGACTGAATGTGAATTTTATTGTAGGTCTTCTCATGGAAAATGTCTCCTTTTAATCCTCATGTTGCTCCCTCTTCTGAAGCAATAGGAGTAGGCCCTGTGCTGTCAATTCGATATTCTTTAGATTCGAAGCTTTTGGCTATCCAAAGATCTGCACATGAGGTTCAAATATTGCACAGAGAAACTGGGGATATTTTTAGTCAGAAGTGTAAACCCGAATCAGAAAGTATTTTGGGATTCTTTTGGACAGATTGTCCAACATGTGATATTGTCTTTGTTAAAACAAGGTATGCATCCAAAATTCTCTTCTTCGACTTTCTTTTTTCTACTTTTATGTTTTAAATTGCAAAGGAAGATGTTTAATCATTGAAGTCAAGTTGGTATACTTCAGGAAGAAGATGATTGTGGACTTGCCAATGCTAAGTAAAATAAAATGATTTATAGGTTATTAGGAAAACATGGGACAAAAGTTTCTCTTCTTATCCTCTAAATTACCCTTTCTATTCTTTCTCAGATTCTAATTTCATGTATATCGAAGGTTAATTCTGGACTTCCCAACTCTCATGGACGAGAAAACTCCAGCAGTAGCTAATTATTGAACCTTTTCAAAATAACTTCACTGATTGAGCTATTGCACATATTAACTTGTGGCAGCAAGTGATGGGAATGTAAAACATTGTTATGGTGTACTCTAAAGTCTAACCACAACAGTCCATACTCTGCAATTAATTTGTTGAATGCTTTGCCATAGGATGATACAGGTTATGAATCTTTAAAATTTACTCTCTGCATGGAATGAATCTTTATCCATGAAATGTGAACATGAACTCTTATAAGAACTAAGAAGAACATTGTCTTTTATAAGTCTGCTTCTTTATTAGTTAAAAGGAGCCTGATTACTAAATGCTAATTTAGGTTCTTCAGTTATATCCTTTGCAAACAAAATCTCATGAGACTATGAAGAAAATGCATTGATGTAGCTGGCATTAACAATATGGCATTGTCTATCCCTTCATTGCGCATGAGCTTGTTTGTGTGTTTGTGTGCGTTTCAATATTGTGGCTGTATTTAGTGTCTGAAATAAAATTTGACTGCAGTGGATTGGAATTATTCTTGTATAATTTTGAATCAAAGTCACTTACTTTGGTGGAGACAAAGAAACAGACCGTGAGCTGGTATGTCTACACACATGAGAGCAGATTAGTGCTTCTTGCTTCAGGAATGCAATGCAAGACTTTTAAGGGATATCAGGTGTTGTTTCTAGTCTTCTCTATTTGCCTTTCCAACTTTTGTTTTGTTCTCTCTCTCTGTTGGATACCATGGATGAGATACTATATCTCTTGTAAAATCAATATCAGAATTTTTGTGAAAATGTAGTGAATGATGCTAGCAAATGGAAATTAATCAGGATAGTGAATGTGCACGTTTCTGTTTTAGCATTTTCAGCCTTTCTTTAGGATGGTCTAAAGTCTAAGTTTCATTGAACCTTGTCATTTTCATCTTGATATTCTACATTATAAAGTCTTTTTGAGATTTGGCATCATGCAATTCCAACTTTGGGGCTTTAATGGGTGAGTAAAACGTGAAGTTAGAACACACCTTATATTTTTTCAACATGAGAGATGTATCTTTGAGCTTCCATAACTATAAATACTACTTCAAAGCTGAACCATTTTTTTTAGATAAGAACATTTTCAGAACTGTTCAGTGCTCACGGATAGGTAATTACATATTGTGTTACTAATATTATTATATTAATGTGTTTTCACCCTCGGTGATAGGTAATTGCCTTTGATGGCTTGATCACATGGTACCTTCTCTTCTGTATATTTAGTTTGGATTCTATTTCTTACAGTTTTCTTCCATGGGAATAATCCGCTTGCCAAGATTTGAGATGGCGATGGCAAAATCTGAGGCAAATAATGTGCCCATCCTTGCTGCTGAAGATGTGCGTGTTATCACTGTGTAAGTTGTGAATTTTTTAATGGCTTTTGAGTTTTTTTTTTTCTTTTATTTTTTTACTAAACTAAATAAGGAAATTATGATTTCCTTTGCAATCACAGTTATGGTAGGATTTACTGCCTGCAAGTGGATAGAGTAGCAATGCTGCTCCACTCATACAGGTTTTATCGGGATGCTGTGATACCACAGGTGAGTTCTTGCCAAAGCTTCAAAGTAGCATTGGTTCCAGTTATGGCATTTTTGACTTTGCTAGTTATTCCCTTATAATGGTAATTGTGTCTATTTTCCTCTCAGTAAATTAATAAAAGAGTACCAGCTTGACTTTTGTTACAATGTTTTTAAAGATTGGGAAAAAAAAGCCCAGTTGTACAGAAAGAATAAATAGAACCATAGCCAAAAACATGCTGCAGTATTAATGAAGGGCCATAGCTTAATTCCTTGAGAAGTGAAGAACACCTCTCCATCTAAACGAGAAGGCACAAATCTACTTTTCTTAAAACACTTTTGCAATATACTTTGGGAAGAAACAAAATTGTAGTAAAGCAGATTCCCATGGATGATTGTGCTTCCTATCCTTTGTCCATACTCTTTGCAAACTCCTAGAATTAGTGATTGGCACGTTACCCAGACCTTTATTTCTATTGTTGAGCCATTCCAGCAAAAGCGTAGGCAATTTCTTCAAAAGAACCCTCGCAGTTCATCACTGTCATTTTGCTTTTCTTATTTTATTCAGGTAGCTTTGTGCTAAGCTACAGAAATTATAGTACTAAAAGTTCTCTAGATGTAGCAGTAAAATGCTTTAAGAAGTTGTTGGCTTATCTTTATTGTTAGTCATAACTTGACAATACTCTCAAATCTTAAATAGTCTTTGGTAATTATACTTTGTACTATCAGGGTTCTTTCCCCATTTATTCCAACAGAATTGCTGTGAATGTGGTTGACAATGTATTGCTTGTTCATCAAATGGATGCAAAAGTAGTCATCATATATGATTTATTTGTGGATTCTCATGCACCGGTTTCTTCACCTCTTCCTCTATTGATGAGAGGTTTGTCAAAAAGTAATGATGCAACCTCTCAGTCCATGTGCCAAAAGAGTGAAGCGTCAGAGGAAAAAGAGTTGAGCAATGCTGAAAAAATCATGTATGGAGATGACTGGACTTTTCTTGTTCCTGATTTTATATGTGATACTGGTAATGGGTTGTCATGGAAAGTCTACTTAGATCTAGAGGTAAGTTTTCATTGCCTTACACATTGTGTTGTGACCTACTATTGCTATCTTACAATGTTGATATTGCCAGGCCATTTCTGCCAGCAGCTCTGAAGTGCAACTAGTCCTTGAATTTTTACAGAGAAGGAAATTGGAAGCAAATAAGGTAGACTGATAGAATGTTTACATTCACTCTTTTAAACCTGCCAATAAGGTAGACTGATAGAATCTTTACATTCACTCTTTTAAACCAGCCAAGTTATTCTGGTCTGATTGATAACCAAGCATTTTCTACTGGTCTGTTATCCCCATCAACCAGTTGTCCTATGGCCAGCCTAACTAGGTTTTTCAAGTATAAATGTGGCATATGAAATCTCACTTTTATGGGAGTGACCTGTGCATATGCATGGCTTTAATCCTCTTGTATGGGCAAGAATTATTCCTAATTTCCTACAGCTATATAAAACTTTTTATTCCCCTAATATTACTGTCTTTCATTTGCCATGTGTAATTTCAGGCTAAACAGCTGTGTCTATCAATTGCACGCACCATTATTCTTGAACGACGACCTGTACCAGTGGTTGCTAGAGCAATAGATGTTTTAGTTACCTCTTACATGTCCTCACTAAAAACTGGTAATTATCACAAGGGAACTAAAGCAGAGAAAGCTTCAACTTCTGGTGGTTCTAACACAAAGACAGCTGTTGAGGATAAAATGAAAACAGCAAAAGATGAAAGCACAAGTTCCATGCAGCAAAAGATGAAAGCTTCACCTTCTGGCTCTGAGGATAATGTTAGCTATGGAACACAAAGAAGTGAATTTCAAGATTTTGATTCTTCAACTTTGGTGGGGCCTGAAGTGCATTCATCAGCTGCACAGTCTCAAATTGTTGGAACATGTAGCACCCCATTAAATGCTAATGTCCCTGAGCAACAAGAATCTCGATTGACTTCAGCCGCAATTTCATTAGATGATCTATATAATTTTGTGTTTGCCCCTGTTGAGGAAGAGATGGCAGGAGATGCTTCGTACTTGGTTGCAATCATCATTGAAGTCCTTCGCAGGTATTTTGCTCTTGTTCAGGAATCTCCAAATGCACTATTCTCTAATAAAGTGGCTGCCCTTCTTCTGTTAAAGAATTAACACATCCATGGTTAAGCTGAAATATCTTTGAGGTAGTAATGTTTGTGACCCAGTTTCTTATGCAACCAAAATAAGAGAATGTTAACCATTTAATCTTCTAATTGTCTCTGATAGAAAGTATTGCCTTCTGGTTATTTAAATATCATAAGTGGAAACAAACTGGTTTTCTCTTTTCTCAAATTCTAGGGCATGTTAAACATTTGTCTGTTTCTCAATTTTGTCAGTTGAAGTTGTATATATATATTTTTGGCTAATAGTGTTTTCTTCATTTTCATTGTTCCAGTGCTAATTCTGAAAAGCTAAAAGTACCTCTAAATATATATTGTTTGATGATACAATTGCTGGCACGGAATGAACGCTATGCAGAAATTGGATTATTCATCATGAATAAGGTAACCGTACCTCCCTAAACCCAATACATGTTCAAAGTGTTAAATTCATCTTGTATCTAGTTGCAAAGCTGATTTAATTTATTGCAGATCATTGAGCCCTCAAAGGAAGTTGCAAGGCAATTATTAGAATCAGGTCGACAGAATTTCCAAACAAGGAAATTGGGCCTAGATATGCTTAGGGAGCTCCAACTACACGAGGATTATGTCTTGCAACGTGTGCAAGATGGAAACTATCTTGATGCCTTGCAGTATGCACGGAAAAAGAAGGTAATAGTTCCCCATGAGCAATTAGAGATTCAAAAACCTTACATTTTATATTGTTGCAAATTGCATGAACTTGAAAGCCCATCAAAGTGGCTTTCAATAATAACGCCACACGAGCTTCTGATGGTATACATATTGCTTGTGGTAGCCATGTTTTGATGCTACCGATAATTGGTTAAAAGTTGGCTAACTTTATGGTTGATTTTCAGGTGAGTACTGTGCGCCCTTCATTATTTCTAGAAGCTGCCTGTGCTTCTAATAATTCACAACACCTAGCTGCTGTGCTGAGATTTTTCTCTGACTTCATTCCAAACTTCAAGAGCACACCTGACCACCAAACATACACTCATGTTCTCGCTAATATGAATGCATCAATCACTAATCATGGGAGTCGGCTTTTGGCATAAATACCCCCATCTCATCTTCCTCACACTGCATTTCACCAGAGTAAGTATGAACATGTAAGAAGTGTGCCAACTTTTCTGTTACTATGATGTGATCATGTATTCATGCATCGTTGCATGTGCACAGTCTGATTCTAGTATTTTTGTCTTTTAGAGGGTTTTGGTAGAAGGGTTAATAATTAGACTTGTACAATTTTGGAGGTACTCCCTGAATAAAGCCATCACATTCTGTGGTTACTTCCTGTATTTGTTTCAGTGTTTTTCTTTGTTCGTTTAGTTTTGCTATACATTGGTCCCATCACTGCTAGCAGAACCTCAGAATTAGTCCCATCACTAGTAGACCTATCTTTAACATGAATAGATTGACTTGTTTTTTCTGTGAGCTTTTTGTCATCATAAAACTGTGTTTTGTGATAGAAACACAGATTCCCTCTATTCTAAGAATTGTTAGATGCGACAACAACCCTAATCAAGTTGGTCTGACTATTGGTAACCCCCAAGTTACAAGTTCAACTCCCAGTGAGACGGTCTATTGACCTTATTAATTTGAGCCGGTCAATTATGGGTAATCTAGACTGGTTTACTTCCTTGTGATCCTTTGTTGGTTTGGGTCACAAGGCAGAGTTTATCCAGTGCACATTCTTGGGTAGTAACGTTAGGTTTTCCGCCTCACCAAAAAAAATAAAAAGAAAGAATTGTTGGATTTTCTCGCGATTAAGCATTATTACTAGTGTGTTGAGTGGAGTTGTGGGGCATTGGAAGCTGACAATTTTCATATTCTTTTCAGCCTTTAGGACCCATGGTTATGCTGTCCAAAACGTACTCTTCTTCCACTGATATATGGAATGTCTTTTTAACACGTTTGGTTCGAATCCCAAATCTGAGGGATTGGAAGCTGAAACAGGAATATATCAAGTTAGCAGCCTCACTTTTATTTTTAGCATGAGAATTGAATATTAGAATAACAACAATCTCATCTTCAGATTTGAAGATTAATAAAAATTATTCATCTCAAAGTAAATGATATGGACAGGCTGCTCACTTTTCATTCCAAATTGGAGAGTGTGGTACTCTTGGCTAATTTATATCCTAGATTAGGATTTATATAGCATTATGGACCATGGATCGAAACGACGAGGTATATAATTCATACTCGTAAGATACAAAATTTCATAACACAAGAAATAAAAAATCACAACACAAAATACATACACATGTTATATATTTATTTATTTTTCAAATCTGATTTAGGTATATAATTTGAGTTCATGCACAGAATTTCACAACACAAGACACAAAAATTCATAACATAAAACACAATTACTAATTTATTTCAAGTATAAAATTCATACTCTTAGACACATAATTTCATAATACAATACACAAAAACCAACATAAGATATATACACATGCACCAAAATCCACAATGCTGTGAACCTTGGTCCAGTATAAAGATTGGTACTCCTGACCTTGATGTAGTCCTTCGTTTGTTGTAACCTTTAAAAAGTAGGTTCGAAATCATGTTGTTCAAATTAGAGGAGAAATGAAAAAAAAAAAAAGAAAAAAAAAAAAAAGAAAAAAAGAAAGAATGATCAATACGCCCAGTAAGCGCAGTATTTATTTATTTATTTTTTCATGTGAAATCTACAAAAAACATATCTACATGAACATCTTTTCTCTTCTCTCTTCACTATACACTAAAGAACCTGACAAAAACTCAACAAAATGACTACTGTAGTTGCTTTTAAAGAAGAGAACTTTCCACCCTTGTTAGTGAAACATAAACTCACATTGGTACAAATTGAACTCATGGGTCTTAGATAGATGGTGCGGGTTGAATTTCTTCCAACTTAACTAGAGGTCTCGAGTTTCATATAGCTATTTTAAAACTCATGAGAATAAATTTTCAAGATTCTAAAAAATGGTATCTCAAACTAGTTTGGTTGGTATGAGTGATCGTGCACTCTCAACCTCTCGAGTTCAAGACTCCCTTTTATATAGATAAATCAATATGCCTAACAATTTGTCCTTTAATTGGAGAAAAAAAAAAAAAATGGTACCTCTATTTTTATCTTATTTTTGGACCATGGGGGGTTACCATAAAATTTCATAATTACATTAGCCATCTAGCTAGCCAAAATATTCTTCTAAATATGACAAGGGCTCTACCCCTAAAACTTATCAACAGTACTATTAAGTCCATCAATATAGTAGCACTCTACCCCCTAAAATCAAAGCTTTTATCTTATTCCATTTATTCTTTTGTTTCACAGAAACATCATATGATGAAGGTAGACATATTATTTGTACTTTTGTTGTATTCTTGTGATGCAACTTTTGTTGTTATTCTTTCTGGTTCTTTGATTTTTTTATTAGTCTTGTTCCGACACTGCATTTCATTACTATAACCTAATTTTGTACTCTTCCCCATGTAACTAGAATCTCACCCACTCCTTTTCTTTATCCCATTTCTTTAATATACTTTTATTTACTAAATTAATTAAATAAAATCTTAGTGTGCTGTATTCTGTATGTATATATCAAATTGGAAGTTATGTATGTATGTATGTATGTATATGCACTCATTATCTCATTACCCTCAAGACTATTATTTATACATGCATGGTACACATATATACATACACATACTAGTTAGGTATGTCTGTGAGTGTGTGGCTAAGAGGCTAACATTTTATATCCACGTAAGTGCATAACAACATTGTACGATACATCACGTAAATTTAGATATTTACAAGTATTAAAAAAATTCAATTTCACTAACTTAAATGTTCATTATTATTTGAAATGTGACACATACATTAATACAACATTGTACGATACATCACGTAAATTTAGATATTTACAAGTATTAAAAAATTCAATCTCACTAACTTAAATGTTCATTATTATTTGAAATGTGACACATACATTAAGTATACTAAATATTCACATTGTATTTGACAAGTGTAAAACTATTTATATCTCATTTCTTTCACTTTCAGATGTAGATCCTTCTAGTATATCAACTTATTTAATTTGCAATTTATTACGGAATAATATTTTTTTTTTCAACACATTGATGCAAAACCATGTTTAATTTGAAAACTTGCAAAATTTGAAAGCTTACAAACACTATTTTATTTACCATTATTTAAAAAAGGAATAAGGGTCAAATAGGCCATCGAACTGCACACGATAATGCAATTAAGCCACTGAACCTAAAAAATCAACAATTAGGTCCCTAAAACTAACCAATTTCAAACAATTCTTCCAATTTATATGTTTCCAACAAGTTAACAGGTCATCCTCCCAAATTAATTTTTTTAAAAAAATAAAATTTTAAAATTAATTATTTAAATAATTAAAAAAAAAACAGAATTCAGCCGATCTGTTTTTTTTTTTTTTTTTTTTTTTTTTAAATTTTAATAATTAATTTTTAAATTTTATTTTTTAAAAAATAATTAATTTGGAGGATGACCTGTTGACTTGTTGGAAATCTTCAAATTGGAAAAATTGTTAGGAATTGATAAGTTTAGGGACTCAATTGTTGGTTTTTTGAGTTCAGTGGCCTAATTGTATTATCATGTGCAGTTCGATGGCCTATTTGACCCTTATTCCTTTAAAAAAAATGGTGTGACAATTAGGCTTGGCAACGGAGTGGGGAGTAGGCCCACCCCGATTTCATACCCCGTTCTTCGGTGGGATGGAGAATTACCCCATTCTTGTCCTCGTCCCGCATGGATTCTTTCGGGACGAGGACTTTTCAACTCAACTATGTCTATGTTCCTATCCCATGTGAAAATGGAAAAACTCTTCCCATTCGTAGAGAAAAAAAAAAAATCCTTCGCTCCCACCTTGTCAAGACGGGAATCGAATTTTTCCATCAGATCTAGATTGAATTACCATTCGTAATGACAATCCATCTATAGATATGGTCTAAGAGGGCTAATAATTAAGAACTTAAGAGTCCAACTATCTTATATATAATTTGTGCATACATTATACATACACATCATTGGATGGTATGAATTATTATTAATTTTGATTTAGATAATAAAGAACACTTTTTTTTTTTAATTGTTGGGTAATTAAGATGTCATTTTCAAAAATAAACCCAAAAAAAAAAAAAAAAAAAAAAAAAAAAAGGAAAGGGTGAGCTAGGGTGAGTTGTCTAGATGGGATGGTGGAGCCAAAAGCTCACCTGTATGCTTGCTGCAAATGGGAGAAGTGAGTAGATCACACTAATGATTCTTGCAACCTAATATCATTTTTTTGGCTTATTAGATCATTTGATAAAGATATTTCAATTAACGCTTATACACCTTATAATATTCATTCATCATTTGGTAGATACATTATTATTATTATTATTATTATTATTATTATTATTATTGTTGTTGTTGTTGTTGTTGTTATTATTGTTATTATTGTTATTATTATTATTATTATTATTATTATTGTTGCTGTTGTTGTTGTTGTTATTATTGTTGTTATTATTGTTATTGTTGTTATTGTTATTATTGTTGTTATTGTTGTTATTATTGTTATTATTGTTATTATTATTATTATTATTATTATTAATATTATTATTAGAGAATGACATTATTAATTAGTTCATGAGTTATATTATATGCATAGCTAGGTTCATTCATCATTATTGTTGTATCTATATTTCTTCCCTCAATTATTCTCAAATGTGATTTTAATCTTTTTAATTAATATTTTGTCACATTTAATTATATTAAAAAAAGTTGATGATAAAAAGATTAAATGACATCTACAAATCTACATCTACATCTACAAATCTAATAAGAGCGAATAATGTTAGGCCCTTAACTGGAACAAAAAAAATGTCGGTACTAATTGTTTCTTAAAATGAATGGTTTATATTATTTTGATTTTAGTATCTTTTAATGATTTTCCTTATTTACCCTCCATTATATTATTTTATTCCCTTAAATAACTCTAAATTCCGTTAGTTTAAACTTTAGTAACGGAATATTCCGTTAACTATTTATTATTCTTAACCTACTCTTAATTTATATAAGGTTTTAGGTTCGAACCTCATCCCAAGTATAGTTGGGATAATTGTTGAACATACAGTATGAATATGTTAATAAAATGTACTAAAAATATATATATAATATAAAATTTAACATAAACTTTGGCCAAATAATTAGCTCGACTAAATACATAGCATTCGAAGTTGTGGCATAATTGTTGAACATATATTATGAATATGTTAAAATGTATTAAATATATATATATATATATATATATATATA